CATCCCACTGAGGCCGACAAATTGATGGTGAGCACGCACCAATGTGGCCGGACAATGGTGCTGGGGGCCTGTGTAACCAGCCCGACACGTCCGACTGAGGCCGACGAAATGACGGTGAGCACGCATCAATGTGGCCGGAGGCAGTGCTGGGGCCCTGTGTAACCAGCCCGACACACCCCACTAATGCCGGCAGAATAACAGCAGGCCAGCCGCCTCGACAGGCACCAGCTACAGTGGTGAAATCTCTGTGCTGGGGCAGCAGCGGCCGCATGCCGCTGGCCCGACATCTTCGGGCAAAATGACATGCCGCTGGCTCGAGGTCTTCGGGCTTAGGTACCTGCACTATGTGGCCGGCGCTGGTACCAGAGGCTCGTTCAGATCCTTGTCAAGGACCTGGGCTTCACGGTTTGCGACGTCGACCAGGCTGTTTTCGTCAAGGTCGGCGACAGCGGAGCACGCATCATCGTTGTTGTTCATGTCGACGACTGCACGATTGCGGCAACATCTCTGTCTCTGGTCCACAGCTTGAAAGCCGGGTTGCGCAAGCACGTGGAGATTACTGACCTGGGTGAGCTCCACTGGCTACTAGGGATCGAAGTCCACCGAAATTGCGATGCTCGCACTTTGAGCATGGGACAGGCCTCCTACATCGACTCTATCGTCCGCCGCTTCAACTTCCAGGATGCGAAGCCCGTTTCCTCCCCGATGGAGCCGCATGTGAGACTGTCGTCCTCGCAGTCGCCTCAGACAGCCACCGAGCACGCGGCGATGCGCCACACGCCGTTCCGCGAGGCCGTCGGCTCGCTCATGTATGCGGCGCTGGGCACGCGCCCGGACATAGCATACGCCGTCTCGGCTGTGTCGCGTTTTAGCAGCAACCCCGGCGTCAGCCACTGGGATGCTGTGCGGCGCGTATACCGGTACCTTGTGGGCACACGCGACCTCGCGCTTACGTTCGGCGGCGACCCAGGCGCCCTTGTCGGTTTCACCGACGCTGACGGCAGCATGGCAGAAGATCGCCGTGCGATCTCCGGCTACGCTTTCATGGTCGATGGCGGCGCCGTGTCGTGGTCGTCGAAGCACCAGGAAATAGTCTCTCTCTCGACCACGGAGAGCGAGTACATCGCAGCGACGCACGCAACCAAGGAGGCCTTGTGGATTCAGACCTTCATTTCGCAAGTTTTCGGCGCGTCCGTCGCCCCCACCACTCTTTTTTCCGATAACCAGTCAGCCATCGCCCTCTCCAAGGACCACCAGTATCATGCGCGGACCAAGCACATCGACGTGCGTTTTCATTTCATCCGCTGGATCGTCGACGACGGCAAGCTCAGACTTGTCTACTGCCCGAGACTGGCTGTTCAGTCCAGGTGTGTCTCTTCTTGTCATTGTATGCGCTGCGTTCTTGTTTCTCCGAGAGTCGCTAAACAGGTACATATAGGGAGATGGGTTTTGCAAGGCTATGACTACAGCAACAGCACGATCTAGACACAAGGTCAGCTAACTCAGTCGTCGTGCGAGGAACGAACGCTAGTAATGTATTCACCTAGACACAAGGTCAGCTAACTACAAAGGAGTGTAAGTATGTGTATAGGTACGTCGGAATAGAATAAGTCTCACCTCAGTCGTCGTGCGAGGAACGAACGCTGAGGTGACGGTAACTAATTGTCTGGTATAAGTGCAAATCGGAGGAGATGCTCGGTATCGTACGGATCAGGTTTGCCGGACAGAAAAGCAAGGAAAAATCATATGCTATCACGAAAAGGAATGTCATGGAATACGAGGGAACGAAACGAAACGAACGTGCATGATATGTAACTGACATCTGTCAAATGAGCGACACGAAAACGGGTATATGCAAAGAAACAGGGCGTGGTAGTGCACCCGGCGACACGACGCCAGCGCTACCGTGACATAGACGCCGACATCGGATCCTGCTCGCGTCAGCCGATACACGCGTCGGCGTGCGCGACGCCTTGCGAAATCTAACACTCCCCCTCAAGGGGAGCGCAGGCCGAGCTGCGAAGCGAAATGCTTCACCTTCGGCGAGGGCAGGGCCTTGGTTAGCGCGTCGGCGATCATGTCGGCGGTCTCCCGCTCGTCGGCGTCATGCCTCAAATGCGCGGCCATGATTCGCAACTGAAGGGACCTCTCATGGTCGCCAGCATCGGCATATCACTGAGCCAGCACTCCCCATGCAGCGGTAGCTCGTGGCTCGATACGTATCACCTCTTGCATAATACGACTAGCCTCAGCGTTGTTTCCGTCGACATATGCCTGATTTCCCTCGCCGATAAGTGTACAGACCTGGTGCGATAGTGGAGGGCCTTGGTGACGGATTTTCTAACAGCGATGCGTTTGCGTCAATAAACATGTGTGCAAAGCTGCGGGATGTACAAGCCGGGATGGCCAGAGCGGAGAAGGGAAAGAGTCCCACATAGGCTAGATGCATACCTTGCGTGACTTCTTTCTCCTGACCCCAGACGCCTCGCGAAGGTCGTCATGAGACTCGGCATTGTGCTCTTCATTATTGATGACCCAGTCCCTACTCAGGAAGGAGGAGTCTCCCGCAACGTCGTTCGATATGCGGATGTTCTGCAGAGTCGACTGTGTATAGGCGGGAGAGGAGTGGTATGAGGTAGGGTTCATGAATGGAATGGATATTGAGAGTGCCACGTACTCAAAGTGTCCGTTGATTTCCAGCTGAACACCCTGAGGGATGCCTTTGACCTCCTCTTCATCTCCTTCCGAGCCATCGACTGAAGCTGCAGTCTCTGCGTCTTCTGAGTTGGTGGTGTCTTCAGGGTCTTCCGATCCCTCTGCATCGGACTGGTCGTCTGAGAGCCCATATTAGCATGCTGCACACAAAATAATATATCCTTACAGAATTGTTCTTTATCCATAATCACTTGGTGGATGGTCGACGCGCGTGGGGAGTCGCGCGGTATGGTGAGACGCGGGAAAATGCCGGAGCATCGGCGCGGGACAACTGTAGCCGAACTTGCGTCTTATCTTATCAGACTTCGTCTTAACACTGACCACAAGCACACCATCAATATGTGTCATGCTCGACCTTTCGTAAATGAGGTCACTTGATTGGCCATTGGGTCTTATGCGCTCGATCAGCAATATTGCAATTTTTCGCGTCTAACAGTGTAGCAAGCACCTCAACTCTAGTCGCTTATACAGTACGGGTATCGAGTCTCAGAGACCAATTATCACTTTGGCTCGCTAGTAACTTCCCTAACAGCTCCATCACTTACGACAAAGGCAGAAACGCGGGTTAATGTATGAGGCATCATCTTCAACCCATGCCCATTCCCAATGGCCACGCGGATTAGCATCATGATAATATCCAGTTTGCCGCCTTCTAAGCGCCGCATCCTCTTCATGTTGCTGCTCTGGCTCCTCATCAGAGTTAAGATCTTCCTCGCTCTTCCCAGGTGGTTCCCGCGCGTAAAAGAGACGCTTAAAATAAATGTTACCTTTAGCTTTACTTATCAACGATGGTACGAGGTGCGCATGATTTCACTGACCTCTTTTACCTTACATGTAAATACCCCGGTGGTCCGGCGCTTTTCAAGTTGACGAGAGTGAACCCTTTGGACACTCGCCTGCAGACCTTCCTGCTCAGACGATACCACCTTGAGTAGCTCCGAATTGCCTGTGTCTGAAGCTAACTGGGAGACGAAAAGAGCCTGGAGGAGCACATTTCGTATGCGGCACCAAATGCCATGAGGCTTGCCGAGAACGTCATCCACAGGAGAATGGCTCCCAGACGCGGATGAGGGTATGGCACATGCCTCTTCCATTTCCACGTCCAGGTCCATCTTCTCACGCGGCATAAAATCGCGAAAATAAGCAGATAGTAGTTTGGCGGTCTGTCGTACGCACGTCACGAATGGAATCGATCATGGCCATATGCGACGAGTGTGGTTTCTTCAAGAGCGTCGCTGGTCGCTGTGTTGATAAATTAATATGTAAACCATCCTGGTGGCATAGCTGGCGCTCTCGGAAACAAAAATAGACTTGCCTTGAGGAACGACTCCAATGAATCTACGCTGGCAGAGGGCACGGAAGTAGGAGATCTGTGGTCTACTTGAGTCGACAGGTTGGCTGGCAACTCTTTCCCTCTTGCACTGGTGCTCGCTGCATGGATTCCGAATCCCTTGGTATCATTCTTCAGGTGTTCAGAAATGGGTGAGTGAACATTCTTATCATGAGCGCTGCCTTGACGCACCTCACTCCCAGGGGCGCTCAGTGGCACAAGTAACTCATTATCTTCCGGCAATCCGTGAATTGCTGTGATCGTCTTGTCCAACAGCTCTATTGGGTACTCCGTCATAGGATCATGCATATCTGTACGTGACAGTCAGAAATACAAGTTACTGGTTATTTGGACCTTAAACGAATTTACTTACACTGGAGTCTCACCACAGCTTGTGGAGGATGTTCTATTTCTAAAACACGTTGAAGGTAATCATTGCGATATATTTCCTCGGCTATGGACCTGGCATCGTCGGCACTGCGGTACTTGATTGGTGGTTGTACAAGCCATTGGGTTGCACTGTGCACTGGTAGATCAAACTTCGCTTTTTCTAGTTGAGCTTCGAACTTGGTGAAAACAACGACCACGGGCACTTCAAGAACATCATGAGCAAGAGTGAGACAACAAATCACACATAATCCTCACGTTTACTTGAAACTTCGTTCATGAACGAGACCTCCACGCCCGAGAGAGGGAGTGTGTCGTTCATCGGGATACAAAACCTTGGGGAGGAAAACTTGAGCATATTCTAACGGAAGTATGAACTGAGCGCTCACCAGATAGCATGCAATCGCTCTGCTGCATAGGACTCAGACTCTCGCTCGCACATGAAATCACGAATCAGCCTAAAATCCCGCAAGGAGGTGCCTTTGAAAGTGTGAAACACAAATTGACTCCCAGGATAAGTGATTTGGTGGTGAATGTCGTGCATGCCACGCTGATGAGATTGGTCAATTCAATGTCATTAGTAAAACTTTGTAGTACGCGCACCTTACAAGACCTGAGAATAACATCATCATATTTGTCTTCAGCGAAGAAATTCAGAGCTCTTTCCTAGGGTTAACATGTAAACAAAAGTCGTCGATAGACTAGACGTAGGGAGGCACTTACTCGAAGGTCCCCTGAGAGCCCAGTAAGGCTTACCTACAGAGTTGAATCTATTTAGCTCAGATGGCGCGAGACGGGGATGCATAACGTACTGCTCGGCCTTCTGCGTCATAAACCAAGGGCTTTGTAGCGTTGTCGGGATTACAAATTCTACTCAGAAGTATGGTCTTCCCTGCGGTGGTCCTTCCTACAACCAGAACACGATATGCGGGGTGTACGTCGTTCATACTCCTCGAACAATTTGTAGTACTTGATACACCTTTCTTTATGTTATGCGACTCAATGTGACATATAATAACAAACTTACGGTTGTTCCCCGTCCTATACAACCACAGAGAGCAAGAATGGGGTCTGGGAGGGGAGACCAGGGAGACGGGCACGGTTTTACGAGAGCAGAAGAGCTGTGGTTTTCAGGCCTATTTTCAGGCCTATAAAACCACTGTCCAAAACGTGTTTAAAGTTCGCTGCTAGCCTATAATGCATAAAGTCCTTGAGGGCCCATCACCGCGCAATCTACTGTACATGAACGGCGGTTTAGGCAACATGATGTGGGGGTGGGGAAACTGCGCCTCTGGACGCTCATGGATTACGAGGTGATTTAAGCGCTCTTACTAGCTGTCTACTTGATATTATTCGGGCCAACAAGCTTATAATAGCGGCTACTCGGACAGCTTCGCCTAGGAAAGCCCAAGTCCTCCCGCTGCCTCAAGCACAAATCGCTCATTTCTGTCTACTAACCCGAAACTGCTACGTGTTGCTATGGCATCTTTACAATGAGCGTCCGGCTTCTATGTACGATGGGATGACCTGTGCGTGATGGGATGAATTCGCGCTAAATATACTTGATGGGCCTGCACGTCTACGTTCAGTCAGGTACGCCCTTACGTGTTGGCTCAGTAGATGAAATTATCTGTCAAAATTTCTGTTGGTAGGCGTAAAATGTGCAAGATAACTGTGGAGTAGTCCCGCCGAAAGTGAGCGGCGATTGATTTGAGCCTGGAGTTCAGGCGGAACATCGCTATGTCCAGCTGTCCAACCGCATTATCAACGTTGGAGATGATGCGAGCAATATCGGCTTGCTGATGAACTTCAGCACGGTAGGTGCCCTGGACAAACCTCTTCAACTGTGTCTCTGTAAGAATCTTGGTGAGCAACCGGGTCAGCTACTTTTAGTGCGTAGGAGGAAGCCGATTCATGCTGACGTTGATTTCCTGCTCAGCAGATCGAACATGCAGGTGTTTGGCTTTCTAATTGATATGCGGCTGGTGCCATGAATCCAGCAGACTCATTGATGCCATGAGATAATCCAGTACCATCGTGTTTGCGCCGCGCTGGTCGATTAGTACAAGGACCCAGCGATAGAAGGGAATCGACTACGGGAATTTTTACGTCAAAGGGGTTTCTTTAGGGCAGGCGCGCCTATCCAGCAGCCATGGCCCTTTTGTCGGAGATCAAGCATTAGTCTGCGATTTGAATGCCATTACCCAATATATATCGGACTTTATTTTGCATCACAGGCGGGAACCACATCAATTTCAGCCCGATTGGCAACACTGACATGTACACTCGTGAGGATAGCTGGATTCCGTGAAACTCTACATATTACCACAAGTACTCATTATCAGTGCCCTACATATCGTAGAAGCCGCCATATTACCAGAGACACGAGCAAAACCTTGTTCTCCCATGTGTCGAATCGTCATCTATCCACTCCCAATGTCCACCGTAACGCAGCGCATTCTCTGGAGGATCGCCCTTATGCTGGTTACTGGTATCTTTGGATACTCTGTCGCGCTTTTCTTGCTGGGAGTCGGTATCGCTGCCTTCGTCGCCGCTACTTTCCCTGGACATGAAACGGGAGCGGCGCCGATTGTCTGGAGCGGTCCATAGGCGCTGTTAGAGAGTGCGATTTATGTTAGTATAAGAAGTATTGCCTGGTTCAAACAATCCGACTAACTTCTTTGGTTTTGCATGTGTAAATGACTACAGGCTGGAACGCTGAGCGAATATGGGAAGTTGCGTGCTTGTATTTTTGCCCAATACTCCCTTTAAAGTGCATGGACTCATCGGACTCTGCGGATATTTTTTGTTCCTTGGGTGTATGCGCAATTTCCCTAATCCGTCGCAAGAAAGCTCGCGCATAGGACGAAAGGCTACTGCCAGTGCTATTACTGTGCTGGTCTTCGACATCAGCCCTGCTTATTTCTGAGATGTTCTGTGATTTAGGTCATGACAGATTCAAGGGTGAGATTGACAGCAATAGCACGTACATCGCCAAGTGAAGTGACCATAGCCGCGTGGGCACTGACTGACTCAGACCGCTTTGTAGGTACGGCCGATCTCTGTGAATGAGCTGATGAGTCCAAGGAAATTTATCAATAATGCAACGTACATTGAGCCATGATTCCATTGAGTCGACACTAGGATTTCGGCCGCCTTCTGGTTTGGAGTTGGTCGGCGGCGAGCCTGCCACAGTTGCACTCGTGGGATTTGAGCGCCCGTCCGAGCCGCTTGCGGAGGGAATGCTAGCTAGACTGTCTGACGAGCTTGTCGATGGAGCTGTTACATCTGTCCCAGAGCGAGGAATTGTATCTCCAGATCCGTAGACAAAGGTCGTGTTTGTGCGGGTGCGCAAAGAATGGGGGATGAGGTGATGGTTTATGTACCTGTGAGGGCCAACGGGGTTGTGCAAGGGACGCTGTTTCCTGAAGGTAAACATATCAGCAGAAAACCAGTAACTCTCGCCCAAGTCTTTGCACCACGTTGGGAGCTCGCCGATGGGATCCGGGATGATGGAGTGGGAAAGATGTGTAGATATGGGGTCGCTCTGGGGTTCCTCTGGCGTTGAGGTGGACCTCGTCCATATTAAAGGTGGGAACGACACGGGAGGAGGTGTCGTGTCGTTTAACCACAGCAAAGACGACGAGGAGTTCCATGCTCTGTCACCCCATGGTATGCTGTACAGAGAGGAAGGTGCCGTAGCCCTGATGAACGGTATAGATTCTGTCGAGTCACTCATCGGATTATTTATAGTGTACCGCTCGCCGGCGGGATACCCCACCGAATCCATCAAAGACCATCCCATATCTTGCCAAATATTGTTATGTTGTTCTTCCCCCTCCTGTAGCAGGGGCTCATTTTGCTGTACAACTGGATTAGCTTCTGCCATCTACTGCTTGAGTTGAGTGAGAGAGAAAGGCTTCGAGTGTGTGATGGTAGTTGATTAATCGGAAGTGCCTGCTGGCGCTACGGAGTCGTACGGTGACGAAGACCTCGGGTAGGGAGAGATCGAGAAGACAGCCCAAAGGCTGCACTGGAAGATGTGTTTTAGCCATGCTATGCTGTGAGCGTGAGAAAGGCGCCAGAGCCTCGAGGCAGTGATTGCGATGAACATGAGATCTTGAGGTGGCACCAGGTGTGTTGCACCGATATGCTGGCTAGATAATCACTTTCATTGAGAAAGTAGAGGATGTCTCGAGAGGAAAGACGCGTCTGCTCTAAACATGTTCTGTCAAGTTGAAGCAAAGTGTTGGGTAACCCTAAACCTAAAGCTCTGTAATTGTGACGTAAAGACGTGTGTGGCTGTGCTAGGAACTAAACGTGCCTGCTGTCCCTCTGAGCTGCGGCTGTTTGTCTGTCTTTCTGTCTCCCGGGTCTTTCTTTCCTTTCTTCTCCTTTCCTCTCCTTTCCATGAGCAACGCGCACAAGCACTCGACATTCCCTCGCTGGAACAATCGACTCAAGCGCAAAGAGCTCACACCCGCCACCCTCACTTACACCTTTGCAGAGCCCACACAGGCAGACCAGGCTCCCGCCGAGAAGGAGAAGACCAGGGAGAGGAGCAGGCAGCTCTTGCGCAGGAGCAGTAACGCGTCTGTTTCTGGGAGCATCCATACTTTCCGTGGCATGAGTCATAAGCAGTCTGGGGATACCCTCTCTGTCAGAAGTGGCTACGGGGATCTAACTGCCAACGACGACACAGCAAGCATACGATCAGTTGGGCGAGCGTCAATCTCGCCGGCTGGAGAGCCTGTGTCAGAAACACAAGACGATGTGACTGAGGGAAGTAGGACTCCTGGTGAGTCTACTCATGATTGTCGTCTCTGCTTGGGCGTTTGGTAGCTGATGACGAACGTGCCCCAAATCAGTCACGTTCCAGCAGCCGCCCGCGGCAGAGCGTGTCCCGCTCCTCCCAGCACCCACACCTGCGCCCGCGCCTGATATTCCGTTATCTCCTACATCTAATCCAACGCCGGGAGCCCCTGCGGAGGCACAACCGTTGGTGCCACCACCATCCCAGTCTGCGCCGGCCCTTCCTTCCGAGAGTGGGACCCCGGGCGAAGCTGCCATTCCCGACACGTCCAACCACGACACGATACGCGCACGTTCAACCAATAACCCTGCCGCGAACGCGAACGCGGCCTCTTCATCATCTTGGTTCCAGCTTTTTACTTGGTCGAAGGAGGCTCTCCCGGAGACAAATAATTCAGTGCCTATCGCGAGTACGAGTGCAGACGCAGACGCCAGTAGCGCGGTTCCACCTCAACCCCTGTCCCATCCACACCCACACCCACACAACCCCGTCGAGGACATGGTCTCCAAGGGCGCACCTGCCGCGCCCCAGCCGACCGAGGTCGATCTCTCATTAACAACCGCACCATCTACCACACCGCGCGACGTTCGCATTTCCCCATCCCCACCGTATCTATCAAAGATCAGCACGTCCACCTTCGACTCAACACGCCCACCGCACTCCTCGCGCCCCTCGATCATATCAATACCCTCGTCAGTGGACGAAGAAGTACCCGTTCTCTCGCCCTCCGTGCACTTCCCGCCGCCTACGATCGGCGGTCCTCCTACGATTACACATGGGCAGGAAGAGAGCGAGGGATCTGGGGGAGGGAGGAGGAGAACGCAGAGCACGCATACACTCAACCCGAGCACGAGCCGGTTTATGCTGAGCATTCCGCTGCTCGGGAGGCCAAAGGTGCCGTTAGACAAGGCCGTGGCTGCGGCGCAGGCGGAGGATATCCGGGTGACGGACGGAGAGGCCAAGGACGAGTCCAAGGCAGAGGAGGGCGAGAGGAAGAGGCGAGAGCAGGGAAGCGAGGGGACGCGTCGTGGTGCGTTATACATCCTTTATTTTTGCATCGATTATAAACTGACGGCTATGATAAAGACGACACGAAAACTCCATCAATGGTCGGGATTCAGCCCGAGCCAACATCCTCTACTTTGACTACTGCTACCTCTTCCAACCTACCGCCTGCCCCTCCCAACTCCACGATTGACCTCCCGAACGCTGGTCTCTCTGCCTCTGTCCCATCCGACCCTGTTCCCCCCGATGCTACCACCACCACCATCGTCACCAGCGCCAGCGCCGCCTCTTCTTCCAACCTCAATACCACCAACGAGCCTGCGGAACAAGCCACATGGTGGGACTTTTTCTCCTGGAAGGCTACTACGCAGGAGTCTGCGCAGCCAGCAGCGGTGGCGGCGACAACCACGGATGAAACCTCTGAGGCGCAAACGACCAATGCCGATGTGACGGTGCCGACGGAAGGAGCAGATGAGCAATCGTCTGTCGCCGCAGAGCCGTCTGCCTCTCCCGAGGTGACAGTTGAAGGAATACCGACTGGCGATGATCAACCCCCGCCCCACCCCCAGCCTGAGCGCGCACCTGCAGGACGCGAACGCTCGTCCTCCGCTCCGCCTACGTCGCCCATTCTCGACCGCAAGAACCCGGTCGACGAAGGCAAATTGAGGGCGCACGAGGTGGACGTACTCTCGGCACGTTCAGCGCAGAGTCAGCAGAGCCAGAGCGCGTGGTATGCGCCGTGGGGGTGGTATCAGTCTTCGGCGTCGCTGCCTCCCTCGGGTGAACCAACGAACGATAGAGATGACAAGGATGGGAAGGACGTTGGCGAGGCCGACAAGGCCGAAGGAAAGGCGGATGAATCAGCGACGGGACCAACGCCGAGCAACGCCGAGTCTAGCGCCCAAGCTCAAGGCCAAGCCAAGACGGAAGATGCTAGCGCCTCCGCTCCCGATGCGACCGCATCCTCCACCGCAGCCACTACTGCAGACCCGGCGGACCCGAGCGGCGACCCCGCCACCGCCCCGTCTTCTACTTCGTCGGGGCAAACCCAATCACAGACTCGGAGCGCGTTGCAGATGCAGAACCCGATCGAGGCGTCGGCGAGCACGAGCCGCTCCGGCTGGATCGCCTTTTTCTCGGCGCGCGGGGCTGCGTCGAAGCGGATTACAGACGGGTCCGAAGCCCAGGAGAAAGAGGGGGAGGGCGGGAAGGGGGAGATGGAGGTTATGGATCTGGATTTGGACGAGGATGGGAACGAGATTCAGGGTGCGGGTGCGGTGGGGAGTGGAAGTGATGCGAAGGACGGGAAGGATGATCAAGGGACGGTTAAGGGGAAGGAGGCGCAGCCCAGCGGGAGCAAGTTCGCCACGCCGCAGGCCAAATCTCCCCGCCCTGCTTCACCAGCCGCGTCGCAGCGGCCTGACTCGCCGGCCAATTCGGTCTTGTCCGACAAGGACGCTGCGAAACGCAAACACACGTCCTCTATTATCGCGGGCGACCGTGCGCCGTCGCCTGCGCCATCCAAGAAATCGAGCAACGAGAAGGTGAAAGGCGACAAGGACGTGCCGCGCCCGCCGAACCTTATCCTGCCGACGTGGGGGGATACATTCCATCTCCCGCCGCGCTCGGTCGTCCCGCCGTCCTACCTCAAGGCTAGCGCCAGTGCCAGCGCAAAGGCGGGCCAGGGGCAGGAGAGCTCGCTCGCGATGGCGAAGAGCGCTGCGCTTAGGTTTGTGTCGAAGGCGATATGGGCGCCGCTGGAGCCCTCTGCTGCTGCTACGGACCATCATGGTCAGGCTCATGGTGTAGGCGCTGGACCGGGGATGAGTAAGGCGAAGGGGAAGTGGAAGGCGTATGAGGAGAGTTTGCCCAGGGCGTATGACGTGCTCGAGGGGAAGATATCTGCAGAAGGAGCGGGCAATGTGTTGAGTAACGCTGGGGATGTGTTGAAGGGCGCGAAGAGGGTTGTGGTTATTGGAGTGCACGGGTGGTTCCCTGGTATGTCTTTCTTCGTTCTGTTATAAGGGTGTCACTAATACAACACTTTGATTTTCTAGGTGCCGCGATCCGTACCGTCCTCGGCGAACCCACAGGGACATCCGCCAAGTTCACATCGATGATGACACAGGCGCTCGAGCTCTTCCAGGCCGAGCACGGCGTGCGCCTCGACAAGGTTACGTCGATGCCGCTCGAGGGCGAGGGCACGATCGTGAAGCGCGTCGAGCGGCTCTACGCGGCGCTCACGGGCAACAAGGAGTGGATGGACGATCTACGCGAGGCGGACGTCGTGTTTGTGGCTACGCACTCGCAGGGGTCGATCGTGTCGACGCATTTGCTGGATCGCCTGATCAGGGATGGGTATATCCGGACGGAGGGAAATGGCGATGCGGGTGCCAGGCCGGACGGAGAGGATGCCAGCAGGAACGGGAGCGTGACGCAGAGTGGCGGCGCGGACGCCTCGCTCCTCGGCGCCGCGTCCGCTGTCGCGGGCGGGGCGATCGGGATCGTTCCCGGGCCATGGCGTGGGCGCGGTCAGGCTGCTTCTCAAACGCAAGCCCAAGACCCGTCTGGCACGACAGCTGAAGATGGGAAAAGGAGGAAGCCGCACCGCGTGTGCTGTCTGGCGCTGTGCGGAATTCACCACGGGCCGCTGCGGTACCTGAGCACGAGCTCGCTGCTGCAGCCGTACCTCCAGTACTTTGAGAATACTGCGGCGAGGGAGCTGTTTGAGTTCCAGGTGCGTTTGCCTTTGTCAAGTTGCTGGATGAGGATGGTGGCTGATTGTTTCGCAATTAATTTGGTTTGGTTTGGTTTTTCTGTTCGATGGCGTTTTCGCGGACTGGTTTTGGGGTGCGCGCGCGCGGCGTTCTTTCTCGTGCATTCGTCTGGATATACTTTTTGGCGGCATTTTCGCGAACTTCTCTGGCTGTGCCGCTCCCCAATTTGTTCTGGCGAACTCGTCTGGCTATGCATTTTCAAAATCGAACGTTCTGGGATGGGGTTTGCGTGTCTGCAATGCGCACCTGTGATTCGTCTCTGCAATATGTCTCCACGATCTGTTTCGTAATTTGTGGAAATCGTCCCTGCAATGCGCTCCTGATGCGTACTTGTCGCCCGTCTCTGCCGCTGTTGTTGGGCCGTTCACGTTCTAATTCTTGTGATGCCGGCGTGGTTTGGACGATATTTCTCCGGCCAATGCATGGTGGTCGTGTGTTCTGGATGCTCTTGATTGGGTCTTGATGATCATACGAACGGCGGCGGTGACGATGGCTGCGCGATGCATGACCAGAACACGGAAAGCTCAATATCCAAAGAATATCTCGCGGTCCTGCAGAATGTTCTACACCACAAGGTCAGTAATTCTTTTGTTCTTGGGATGATCACCATCTCTCTATCGCTTCATCTTCCTTCTATTCGCATCTCTTCGCATCTCTTCGCTTTGCTTCCTATCAGTGATGGTACTTACGAATGGATCCTTTCTTCCCCTTGTCTCACACAATGGGGCACAGGTCAAGATGGTATACGTCGCTTCGCTCAATGATCAGGTCGTAGGCCTCTATTCGGGTCTTTTCACCGCCGTCTCTCACCCCCTCATCTTGAGAGGACTGTACATCGATGGCGATGCATATCAGTGCGTCACCTTCCCTTGTTCAGTCATAGCCCATTTTGTGTGGGCGATGATCCGCGGTCTTAGCTGACTTACATTTTATGCACTGGCTTGATATGATTGATTGTGGTGGTTGCGTGTGGTACCATGTACAGCTCGTCGGACTTTCTGTCGAATCTGCTTGTACTCCTGCTCCGCATCCGTAACGCCGGGCTCTCCGACAGTGGTTTGCTGACACACCTCAGCGAGGCGACCGCAGGTTCCCTGAATGGGATTGGCCACTCGACGGTATACGAGGAGATCGCAACATTCTCGCTTGCCGTTAACTACCTCTTTCTCACCGACGACGGTCCCCGTTGGAGCACACAGCCTAATGCTTCATCCGGACGTGGAACAAAGGTTCAGGACCAGGCGCAAGAACAGGGACAGGATCTCGTGTTTACAAGCGAGCCGTTTGATGCCCTCAAGGAGCAAAATGATTACGAGATTCCGTGGGCCCTGCGCGACCTCATCGCAGACGAGGACGTCGCGCGGTTGTTCTCGGATGACTTTATCCGGCTCCGAGACGCGTTCAGAGACTGGCAACCCAAGACATCGATTCTTAGAGACGTGAAACGCAAGCTTCAACCTATCCAAAGATTGTCTTCCGCCGTGCTCAACGCATCCGGCTCGCCACCAAGCTCTGGAGGGTCCTTGAGCAGGCTCTGATTCTGTTCATCGTCGCGCGCACCGGTCGTGTTCGGATGTCCTCGAACACACAGGCTGGGTGAGGTGAACAACGAAGGTACGTGCTGCGTTCCCTTGCTCCGTGATGTTTTGGCGTTTATTTTGACATGGTCACTGCTCCCGCACAGGTACCCGGAGAGCGATGCTCCTCCCGGCGACCATCGGTAACTCGGTGACCTGACTTACATTTTCTCGTCGATCCCGCGCGACACCAGGCGACGCGGCTCTTGTCATTGGCTCCAATCGTACGCGCCAATCATTCATTGCGCCGCAAGACTACTCTGCCATGGTTTTCTTTCCCACCTAATCATTTTTTTTTTCATTCGCTTAGTTTCAACGACCAGTCACACACGTACACTCATACCACACTCTTGTACACACGCAGCATCATCATATCATCCTGGAGCAAGCTCAGCCCAAATGTATTATTTTGGAACTTAATATCATCTCGCCGTGCAGTGCTTCGTTTCGTTTGCATCATTGGAAATATGTCTGCCACCGCAGATGCCAGTAGGAATGATCGAATGTGATTTTGGCCGAATGTATGATCAACTTGGACCCTGACAAAAGCTAGCAAACATCAGATCCGGAGTTAGACCGGAATGTATTGAACGCGAGTACGTTTTCAGAACAGGGACATACTAAAGCTGTGAACACAAACAAAGTAGCGACGCGTCTTATTGGATCCTAAATTCTCCTTTTGAAACATTTGCATCTCCGCGAAGGTCGGTAGCTATTTATACAGTCCTATACAAAAAGTGCGAACAGGGTACGTAAGCGTCAATCGAGCGCTTCCAGTTCGTTCTTGTCATCGTTGGGACATCCAGCAGCACAAGCGAGATAGATAGTCATACATACAAAATATACATGGGTGGGAGGTGCAGAAATGTCTTTTCCCGTCAAAAAATGAGTCGTATCAGACCACATTAGCGGTGTCTTCCGATTTCTCCCCTTAATCGTACACAAGGTACCTCAAGCTTCTTGGCTTTAGCGGTACTCGGCACCGCAATCACCAACAGTCACGATCATCCGGTTGCTGTTCGAGCGGTCCTGGACAGCCTGGATGGTGCGGTTGTCGTCGTCGGTCAGTCTAAAGCCGTAGACGTGCGCGTTGTCGCCAGGATGCTCCGAAATGCCCAGTCGGGCCCCTACAGGCGTTTTAGCACGGTTTCATGGGAGAACAAATATGCAAGGGGCACGCAGGAATGGTGTGGAATGATGGTGGTGTGATATATGAAGGCGGAGATGGGAGCTGCAGACGCACCAACAAGCACAGCGCCCACGAACGCATGGTCCAGCACCCAACGAGTCGCGATGTTGGCGATGCTGAGCCCGCCATGGCGGTCGCCGATCGCCCTAAGCACCGCCAGAAGCTCCTGGAAGAGTTTCCAGTCTCCCCACGCCTTCAGGATCATGTCGAGATACTGCATGACGCCCCGTTAGCCACGGAACGCATGGGGCGAGTTATCAAGAAGGACGTGAGACATCAAGAACACGACGCTAAGCGTTAAACGCCAAGAGCGCAGTGTCGTTCAGACACCACACAACAGACAAGCCGTGGGGATGTCGAGCGGGATTATTTTAAATTTCAACTTACCTTGCGTTGCGACGGCGTCAGCGTTCCAGAGTAAAGATCGGGTTCTGGCTGGTTCAACCATTTGTCCGCCAGGAAGCCTCCACACTATGACGGGCGAAGGCACAGGCCGAAGTTTCACGGGGAGCGATGAAGCGAATGTGAGAATCGTATGATACAACAGCTGTAGTCGATTCGACCCACCAGTGTTCCATAAGTCAGCAACTTCACATTGTGACGGAGGCAAACGTCAGACATGCCATGCAGGGCCCGGGTGTCGATGACAGAGAACTGCGGCGAGGGAGATATCGGATTCAGAAAATGCGTAAAACGAATTTTTCGCGCGGAGAAAGAAAAAATTGGAGAAAAGAGAAGTTTCCTTACTGGCACTTGATTTGACACGATGAAGCCCGGACCGAGCTGCGTGCATATCTCATCGGTCCTGATTGCATCGAAATTGCAGAGCCCAACAGTCTTGATCAGACCTTCGTTTTGGAGGTCTTGGAGGATTTGCAAAGCATTTAAGTAGTTCTTGTCTGAATAGTCCTGCCAATGGAACTGCGGTGATCGATATCAGACTGGTAAATCAGAGGCCCACACAGGACTACGGTAAGTACCTGTAGGAGGTCGACCTGTGTGGTCTTCATGCGCTCCATGCGCTCCCTCACAGCCGCCTCCACGACTTCTCGAGAGAGCTGTGTGGGCCGAAAGACACACCACTTGGTGGCACCAAGCACATCTGTGGGCGATGACAGAGATGCTCTGTATTGCCCCTGGTTTATCGAACATCAGAGGGTCCTATGACTTCGTCAACAAAAATGCGGTGGCTCACAAACAATATCTCCGCGCTTCCATAATGATCAGCTGAAAGATGCGTCAATAAAGGCTGTATATGGCGGGGCTAACGGTCAGAACAAGCATACCCTGTCAGTGCAGTCGAGGTGATGGTCCAGAAATGGGGGAGAAAACAAAGTTGATAGATAGCATTATCAGCGAGCGATACCTGGGATAGAGGAGCCAGGCGGCTATGTAATTTGCGCACCATATCTGTGAATACAAGAATAAGTTTGATAGATACTCAAGTTAGCTCGAACACCCCGAGACCAAGGCCACGACTCCAGTGACCCGTGGCGCATGATCATCTGGGGCTCATTATGGAACTCACCAAAAGCATTGAAGCCCAGCTCGACATGGCGTGCCATTGCCTGCCGGATCTTCGCTGCGGAGGCGCTACCCCAGGCGTTGCCAGAAAGCTGCCACAGACCGACCCAAAGCCTAGGCACAGTGAAAGGGCCAAGGGTAAACGTCTCGCGTGCGTGAGCCTGGGTTTGGCCTACAACAGTCGTCATTTAGTCGAAAAAGGGAGGTGGTTGAGAATATAGGGAGGCTGAGGGGCAGTTGACGACTCCTTGACGGTGCCTCGTCCGGCTTGCCATTTAAAATAAATCAATCGATCTCCGTCCCAAAGTTGTGCTCGGAGCTGGATTAACCAGATTTACCCGCACTGGCTGCTTGTCAGAGCTCGGCGAATACTTTGATAGACAGACATTGCCTCTTCCAGATTGTCGGATACCGCCCAGGCTGTTGCTGGACTGCAAGCAGTTTTCGGAGTTGTGGTTGTAAAGAAGGAGCGAACCGTGTGGGCGATCCGCACTCACAGCCCAAACTGTCCCGCTTTACAGACGCGGGGCCGCGCCGGTAAACATGGAGGCCGTCGCCGACCATTCGGATATTGACATAGCGGTTCAGCATTCTTATTCGTGCCGATCTATGAACATATTGAGGCGCTGTTGTCTTGTCATCGTGAGGGAAACTATTAATTTGGGGATCCAAGTTGTCCGACTGATGGCGATCCCCTGTTGACTCGTTTTTAGTCGCCGACGTATTTGAATCATGTTCATCGCCTGCCTGATCACCGGTGGAACTGCACTGGGACGACCCCCTTAAATAACCTCAGCATGACCATCTCTCATACCTCTTCTCCACACGCACCCTTCAGCTCAGTTCCCAAGATGCCCGCTCCCGAAGTCTCGAGTCTACAGTACGACAACAACGTCAAGACCCTCGGCCATGTGTGAGTGTGCTGCTCTAAAGCAAATAAACCAATAGGGGCTAACCACAAGCTTTAGCAACCTTATGGTGCGTCAGGAGCTGCTGTGTACTCGCTAGTCTCAAAGACTGAGGTCGATCCTCTAGGTCGACACATTTATTGCCAATGCGACATTAGAAGAGTGAGTGGTGACTTCCTTACTTGTCACTAGCGGCGCCTTGTTCACGCCGAAGCCCTTCCGTGTGCCGTGCTGTGCTGCATGCACCGCGTCCCGCCTGCAACTCATCGTCTCCCCCGCGCGCCAATCTCGCTCCCACCTGCGCCTCCGCCCGATCTCTGCCACAGCCTGCGCGCCATCACACGCACACTCCTCGCCACTGGTTCACCAAGCCTCGCATCGGCATTTACCGCCGCGGCGCGCGCCCGCTTGCGTCAGACTGGAGCCCGTCGGCTCGCTAGCTCCAACAGCCTGTTCGCTCCTGGTGCCGACGGATTCGACCCTGTGCCTACGTCAGAGCTGCACAGCGTCCTCGCACGCGCGAGATCGCTATACGGGGCTGGCATGGGCTTTGCTAGTCTCGGCGTGCTCTATTCCGTCGTCTCGGCTACGGTAGGCCTCCGCTGGGAGACGGACGGCGATATGGCCGACGCACTGGCGGTCGTCGATGCGGATATCACACAGGCTATTCAGGTATGATCTTCCTGTGCTATCATGCTCCATGGCCATATGGTCGCTTGGCGCACTGTGTGCAACGGTTAAAGCTGATGCCGATGATCGAACAGAGCTGCAAAGAAGAGCTGGAGGGCAACCGGGTGAGCGATATGGGAGCCGCGCGGGAGGTTGTTGGCCAAATGCGGTCGGCGGTGGAGGAGAGTACTCGGGATGTGCAGGGGTGGGGTGGGGAGTTCCCATTCGATCGGGCTGCATGCAGCATAGAATACTGGAAATTCTGATGAGCCCAGCGCAGCATACCGTAGCACTATACCAATATGAATTGTTCGTTGTCCTAAAAGCACTGTCCCTGTCGCCTTAGTGTCAATCACCAGCGTAATCCAATTTGAGTGGGACAACACCAATAGCCGCCAACCCGCGAGAACGTGTCACAGGGATGAAGGAACAGGGTCCAGGGAGGAAGTACGTGGGGAAGCCTGGAAGCATATGGACTAAGGAAGCAGACGGCAACTTGTTTAGTGAACGGGTCCCCGGTAACTAGACAATTTGCAGATATGCACCTGCTTGAAGGGGATGCGGCTAAAGCCTATTCTCGGGGTGACAGCGGAAATTAGGGAGGTGAGCCAGCTGGCACTTGCTAAAACACATTTAGGCAACCTGATTGCCTGCTGGTAAATCAGCTTGGTCACAACATGCCGTTCAAGTTGCCGCGGCAGTAGCCGTGCCAGTGGTGGAAAAAATACACGTACAAGTGGTTTGGTCACACGATTTATCGTTTAGGTGGAAGTTGCCGTGTTGGAGTGTGTACCTGGTCGGTAGCCCACACTGAACCTAGAGTAATATAAGTGGCAGTGAGAAGGTGTAGCGACAATCTCCCTTATGACAAGCCTGAGAGTCCGGAACGCAACGACTGCCTCGTTTCACATGCAATTTCTTTCCGCAGGTCAACGTCGACACAGCCTTACACTTTGTAAAATGGAACGGCTGCGTCAGCAAGGGGCAAGCTAGTTTCGGAAAGCTCCGAATAGCCGCTCACCGCATGTCGAGGCTATGGCAAGAAATTGGTGGCGTTGGAGGAGTCGGATTTGCGGCGGTTGATCAAGTCAGTTGCAAACCTTCCTTGTACCACTTAGATCCCGGACGTAGGCGAATGCCTGACTGAGATTATCCCCCGGAAGGCGCGTGGACTCACACGTGTATCACTCTGTTCGCCATGTTCTCGGACTGAAGGTGCGCATCAGATTCGATGGAGCCTAACGACTGTTTTCTCGGGGCTCGACTTTGGAGTTGTCTGATGGGCGGTAAGTCCCGTACCTGTATTAAAAATCCTCCGAAGAAATGCAGATAGGCAAGTACACTGCACGCGCCCAAGCTGCACGACATAAGCAAACTTAATATCAACAGCAGAAAAGAAAAGCACCTCCTAGTTTCGCGTTGACTCTGAGTGTGGTCCTTGCTGACCGATGATCGTCTGCGATTGTCTCCACTGTGTGCCGCGGAAATCTCCATGCATTCGCGAGAACGTGCCTGACGCACACGAACGCCGGCTTTGTCGCATGGAATGGGCTTATGATAGAATTTGAACATGATGTCCCGAGCCATGGGGATGGCGCGGCGGCGTCTCCCGGTTTCCCAAGAGAAAGTATGATGACATAGTTTCAGATCCGAACGCGTATTCATCCGCAATCGTATAGATGGTAGTTTTTCATGAGTCTTCTCGTAACGCGTTTTAGTCACTGTATACGCGCTTATCGGCTACCTTGCAGAAATACGTGGCGTTCGGCTTTCAGATTGGCAGTAAACGAGTCTGAATTGTCAGCGTTGGAGCAAAGTTTTAGTGAGGGACTTTTGACTGTAACAAAGCACGTTAGACCACAGCCAGTGCAATATCTAAGTACTATATGTCGGCGCTCACGAGTGGCCGACGCCCCTCAAGTGGTGGCGGAAAACGCCAAGAAAACACTTATCTTCCGGAACATCCCTTCGGTTTTCATGGCAGTTCCTAGCGCCCCGAATTAGTAGCAGACATAGGGCATGCGCCCGACACTACCGCGGCATTGAACCAGCGCCTACAGACCCAAGATGGGGGTGCTTGGGACTTTGGAAGTGCGCAGAAGGATGGAAGACAAGTCCACACTTACGACGCGTGTGGGTCAGTCAATTCGCCGCAGTGCTCCCGTGATAGAATTGGTGTTCTTGCTGTATGCGCATGCTACATGCCCGTGTAAGCGGTCGTGCTGTGAACGCAAGTATTTTCGGCCGCCAGGGTTCCAGATAGCGAAAAAAGGATCACTCCTCGCTGAATCCGTTGAAGGTGAAACGCGTTTACGGTGCCGGCAAGCCCATAGCCCCTAAACACATTGTGTCATCTGTGTGAAAGGTGAAACTTTGTATGTAGGGTGATCCCACCGAAACGTCAATGTCAGCGGCTTCCCGGCCTTTCAAGAAGTCATTTATCTGGAGCCCCGAAATCCTTTATATTCCTATAGATATAATTGATTTTATCACGTCGTTTGCTCATTGTTGGCCAAAGGGCAACCTAACTTACAAGACGTATAATTCAAACGAGTAACTCGAGTTTCGTAGGTGTGTTGACGCCAACTTGATGTTCAATGTGAGATCGCTTGTTGTGGGTAATGGCATGCTCATTGGGCTGACGTCAACGACAGGATAGAGGTACCCTTTCCCTATGTATCAGTGAAGATAGAAGAAAGATATACTAGTGGTTAACGCACTCGCGTTCATGACCTACTCTCCACGGCATGCTCGCTGCACATTCCTTTGGAGTGTCGGTTCATATATGCGCGTCAAAAACCGTTAAAAAGGCGCTCGCGAACCATCAGAATCAGCTATACGGGACCCAACGCCCGTGATACAGCACTGCAAAGCTCAGCAATAACGCATAGGGCTCTAGTTTTGTTTCCAAACTAAGCTGACCAACGCCAGTGAAGCAAACGCAGGGGCTGAAGCTTACCGCGATTTGACTGCTAACCCTCCTCGGCGCGTAACAGACTCTGCTTGGTCTGAGTGAGACAGCGAGAAACCTCGCGATGCGGTTCCTTGACATGTGGTCACTTGGTCGCGAAGGCGCACAAGCTCGCTAGGGGACCATCCGTGGTGGTAGATTGGGTGCACGGTAGAATGAAGAGCAAACGTTTCGTGGATGAGAGTGCGCTCTCGGAGATGAACGTTGCCGGCTTTGAACATATAATTTGACAAGTGAGTAGATGCGGTCGGACGCGTACATACGCTGACCGGGACCGTCCAAAGAAAAACCTTGGACAACGGTGCGCTCGTGGGAATTGCTCTTGGCGTTGCACGTGGCTGAATATGGATGTTTTGGCCGAAAACACGTCAAAACGCGTGCAAATGCTGAAATTAACGAGAATATTACTAAAGTTGGAAATAATCTTGACGAAATAAATCAAGATTTCGTTCAATAGTTCCACCAATGACAGCGGGGTTCCGGAACGGGAGATGAAAACGGTCTGATGACCAGAGGTTCCTTCTCTCGGTGCCCTCAACTCCATCGGTCTCGCTCGGAAATAGGAAGACAGAAGCTTCGTGCAACAGAGATATGTCAGTGACATGCCCATCGAGCAATATCGGTAGAAAATGAAGGCTAGAGGAAGAATTGTGTACGATTGCTGACGCGGTAGAGGTCTCAGTCTAACTCTGACTAACATGCTTTGTCAGGGCTTAGTAGGCCGCCGTGTCGTGGCTTGATGCATGATGACTGGATGGGCGAGTGTCCACACACTGGGGGCAATTGCCCATGTTTTCGTAGAAAACATTCAAAATGTTTTGAGGGTTACCTTCCCATTGGGCAGGTCACTTTCCAAATTTGGCATTTTTAGCAAAACATTTTAAATGTTTTTGACATGTTTCCCCTGGAAACATCGTCTAATGCCCCCAGTGACAGAACAGGTCCCGCGGTCTAGCTTTCTTCCCATCGCTTTATAAGCCCTCGTCGCCTATGTCAGTCTCCGCGCTTCATACAGTCGCCAACGGCCCAGTCGCTCTCGTTAACTCCCACCACCATGTCGGACAACAGCTCGCTGAAGACGATTCCCCCCGGGCCGGTAACGACGGAGAAAGCGGAAGCCGCCACCTCTGTGAACGCCAATGTAGATCCGCACCTGGTCACCCTATCCCCGGAGGACAACCCGCAAAACATGTCAACATTCAGAAAGTGGGTCGCCATCGTCGTCATCAGCTCTGCATCGCTGTGCGCTACCTGTGCGTCGTCAGTGGTAAGTGCATCACGGCGCGTTCTCTCGTCATATGTGGTATACTGACGGATCTTGGCTCTCTTGGGCGTCAGGCGTCGTTCACGGAGGCAGGTGAAGCCGCAACCTTTGGTGTTTCAAAAGAGGTGGCAATCCTGGGTATCAGTTTGTATGTTGCGGGTCTCGGTGTCGGACCTCTGTTTGTTGGACCCCTTTCCGAGGTATACGGTGAGTAACATGACGTCATAATCTTTATCATTGCTAAGGATCTTCCAGGGCGTAACATTGTGTACCGCGTATCGTACCTTTTATTCCTCATCTTCACTTTCCCTGTCGCCTTCGCACCCGATATCGGTCAGTCGAAGCGTGATCCAGACGCAGCGATCCGAATCTAACTGTGAATAACCTCCAGGTACTTTCTTGGCCTTCCGGATCTTGACCGGCTTCTGCGGATCCGCATTTTTAAGTGTGGCTGGCGGCAGCGTCAGTGACATGTTCGCCAACGAACATGTTGCAAAGTAAGTTTCAAGTAATGTGCTGAGCTGCCTAATCCTGACCCATGTTTCAGTCCGATGGCATTCTACACTATGTGAGTAGTTTCGAGAGTCCGCGTTGTTCACCATTGCTTAGAGCATTGCAGGTCACCATTTATTGGACCCGTTTTGGGACCTCTGTACGCTGGGTAGGTCTTATGTTACGCCGTAAACGAGTACTTGCTGACCACGACCTAGATTCATTAATCAAAACACGGACTGGAGATGGACATACCGCGTTCAGATCATCTGGATCTTCGTTGAGGTTATCATGTTGTTTGTGGTGAGTAATCACTCCTTTAGCAACTTGTCCAAGGCAAGGCACGCTTAGCATGTTACAGTTTGTGCGCGAAACATACGTTCCCGTGATTCTTAAGAGAAAGGCAGCGAGGTGAGTAATTTCAACTTGTCGTGCCGAAGGCGCGCAAAACTAAATATCTCGACGTAGGATGCGTAAAGAAACCGGTAACGATAAATATTACGCGCCCCTCGACCGACGCAACCAGAGTTTGCTCAGAGAGATCGTCGTTAGCTGCTATAGACCTTTCGGTAATCTCCTCTTGCCGAATAGGTGTAGCAAAGCTGAACCTTTCCTTGCAGAACTAATGATTTACGAGCGTATGGCCCTGCTGCTAAATACATGGTATATCGGCTACCTTTGCTTTCCTAATATGGTGTCATACTTATGCAACATGCAGGACTGCGCTACTACTTGGTATCCTCTACCTCACCTTCCAAGCTTTCCCGTACATCTTCGAGCAGAATCACGGATTCAACGTGCAGACCACTGGTCTGGCTTTCCTCGGCCTCGGCGTAGGCATAGTCATCGGGTCATTAACGCAGCCCTTCTGGAACAGAATTTTCGCGCGCGAGTCCGCGAAATATAACGGGAACCCGCCTCCCGAGTCACGGCTGATCATCGGGATGGCTGGCGCCATTCTGTGCCCCATCAGTACGTACCTCTGTTCGCGATGTATCGCCGTTGGCCTTTCTCTGACGATATTCTACCATAGGTCTGTTCTGGCTCTCGTTCACTACTTATCCTGCCGTCCCGTGGATAGTCCCCGAGCTCGCGTCGATCCCGTTCGGAATGGGGATGCTCTTCGTCTTCAACGCCGTTTTCACATATCTTGTCACCGCCTACCGGCCTATTGCTGCGTCCGCGCTCGCGAGCAACAGCTTTCTTCGGTCGTCATTCGCGGCCGCGTTCCCGCTATTTGCGGGCGCAATGTATGACAAACTCGGTACGGTCGGTGCGACGGCCCTCCTGGCCGGTTTGACGACGCTCATGGCGCCTCTTCCGTGAGTACTTATTTCCCATACATGGACTGATGCCAGTCGTAATGAAATATGTTTCTGACTTTGCACTTTGACCATATACAGGTTTGTCTTCTTCAAGATTGGCGCGCGCCTAAGGCAGAATTCAAAGTTCACAACACGCTAAACCGACCCTTTTTTACGCCTTGCATCAAACTGAGTCTGTAGGCCGAGACCACCATACGAGGGGTCACTGTTAGGGTCTACACCCTCGCCATCTCAACCCTACAGCCTATAGGGTACTAGATAATGCCCCTGCTCGGGTTTCAACGGTAACCCATATTAACCCGTGAACCTATCCCATCCCCTCGAATCTTCACGCCACGCCACGCCACGCCACCCACGCACCGTCGCAATCCCCAACTTGGTCTTGTCTGTTGCACCAGGACCTTCATCACCCTCATCATGGGCTCATACCTGCCTGCTTGCACTGGACATAGCGTCTCAATTTATTAATAGATAGAACTCATCTATACCATACACTAGCACCCACATCTGATCGTCTACATCCCTCGCACTAGCACATGTATACTCTGCTCTAGCCATCCAGTACCAATCGGGACACGTTTTAAGGCTTATTTGACGGAGATATAGAAGGTCCTTCGTTGGCTGTGGCTCGGAGAGGCGCAGGACCGACACTTCGGACTCGTGTGGCGTGCACAGGCAGGGTAGCACGGTAGATGAAGTCCCACCTCACCGACGCCTTTCTAAATTGACGTGCCTGCTGACTTGGTTGAGTTCCTTCTGAATGGAAGGCGCACCGAAACAGCGTTTTCGATTAACGTGGTTCCTATCTTCTTGAACCGGTGGGTTGGTGGGAGTATGAAGGTGTGAACAGTGTCTGCGCCGTGGGCCGATGGACACCAGGTCAAGTCATGTGCATGATGAGCACCTCACCAGGCTGATACTAACCGGTGCACACGCTCCTATCGCCAGAAGTACTCGAGCTTGATAGCCCGGGCCTGGGGTTACAACAGCGTCAAAATGCGTCACAGTGCAGTACTTACCCTTCGTGGCACGCGAACATCTTCGCAATCACTAAACGACCATCCGGCATGGACAGGGTAAGGGCAGGCCACAAGAGCCACATGACGATTGGATCCTAATTGCGGGTCCGGCCTCCCTGTTGACTCCCGAAAGTCGCATTTGCCTTGCCTCGCTGACCTAGGCTGGGCTGTAGGACGCCGGAGGGTCTTCCATTAATGCCTCACTGGGGATCTGAGAAGTCGGCTTTTATCACCCCGTTTCGCTCATTAGAATTGATACCGGGGGTATGGTACTGGTACTAGCAAGCAGACCATACTGCAGCACCTGGTGTCGGTCACATACGGAGGAGATTAATTGGATGCCGTACCACCTGCTTCCCTTCGTTGATTAAGTTCAATTCGGGGAACATGACAGGGTGACTGTATACGGTGGGTAGCCGGTAAGGAGCCCAGATATCGTACTCGGATGCCGCATTTGTCTGTGCTCATCATACCTAACTCTAGACGCCTGTGCCGATGATCGTATCTCACTAACCTCGATAGGATACAGAGAGCACTCTCAATCAAACCCCTGCGCTCTCCCGGTGTCTACCTGTACAGCGACTATATAGTCTATGTATAGCAAGAACGCCTACCGGGCCCAGCTGCTCAAGGCAGCCCACCTCTAAAAAGGTACAATAGTGCGCCACCGTCTGAGGAAGCACGTCACTCGATGCCCTCGATGCCCGAGAACTCGACGAAAGACAAGGGTGCGGGGTTCAAACGCAGCAGAAGAAGTAGCCGGCATAAGATAAGCATTATATTGCATATAGGTCATATAGTTTGCATATGGGGGTCGTATCGGCATTCGGCTCGTCTACGAGCTAGATCTAAAAGATACAATGTGAGCTAGGGATAACGAGAGGTCCGAGGTTATTACCGAGAACACAGAGCTTGTAAGTTAAAAACGTTCGGTACGGACGACTGGATGGTACACACGTGTCGTACTTCTACGGTAAGCAGACAGGGAACGACGCGAGAGGAATGATGGAAATGGATATATTGAAGGAAAACGTCGAGACAAGGAGAGTGATGCGAGTTGGTTAGTCCATTAAGTTGCTGAAGCCAAGAAACCGGTAAATGGATGGGTGATGTGAATGAAGGAGGTGACGGCAACACGGGCGACAGCAGGGGGGAAAGCGATATGCGCAAATCAGGATATCCACAGGAAAGAGAACATAGATGTCGGTTTGAAAAATGGGGTGATATGTTGCGATGATGATGAATGCTTGAATATACAGGATGAAATGAACTGTGCGGGTTTGGTTAGACGACTAATCAATTCATGAATGTGAGGACTTACGAGTAACAAAAACAGATGGAAACAACGGCCACGCTATAGACACCATGAACAGGGCGCACCCTCGTTCAGAACGTTCGGACGCCGAGATGAAATCAAATGCAAGGGTAAACTCTGAGGCCCAGACATGATGGACGCCTCGGGGTTAGAAACTGCGGGCATCCTCGCCATCGCTCAATGGGTACAGACTCAGAGTAGTCATGTCGCCGAGATGCAGCTCGTGCTCGGGCCGGAGCTGCAGGCTGGTCGGGGAGCCGTTGAATTCCGTCAGGCAGAAGCTCGGAGATGAAGGTTCAGTCGGCGACCTTGCGGAGACGGATGTAGTGTTGGAGACGGATGTAGTGTTGGAGGCGGAGGACTCCTGGCGGGCGTGCATCATCCCAGGTCTAGCATAGCGACGCGGGCTTTGTGAACGCGAGCGCGAGCGCGACTCGGAGTGGGAAGTAGCGTCGAAGTCGGGTAGGGATGCGCCTTTTTCGAGCATGAGAAGAGACATGTTGGGAGGGACGTTGGGGAAGATGGAAGACGTGGAGCTGTTGCGACGGTCCTTCTTCTCCTGCTGGTCCGCATGCTGATGCTGGTGCTGCGACCGATGCGCAGTCGGCGACGGCTCGCGTGAAGCGAGTTCCGCCCGCCGAGCGAGTCTTGCATCAGGCGTGGTGAATGTCCTGCTCCTCGGAGTCAAAGGGTCCTCCGCGTGCCCGCCTCCCGAATGTGGAGCAACCCACTTCGAAGTCGACGCCAAGGAGGTAGAAGCCCTACTCGGAGGTGCAACATGTGTCAGATCCACCGCCCCCTCCGTGCGCTCACCACGAGCAGGGCGCGTGAACACGCGCCCCGACGGCGGAGCTGCCCTGACCGTGTCGGGCCTCTGAGTCCTCCACCTCTCCACCTCTAGATCTCTCTCCCTCTCCCTCTCCCTGTGGCGATACCGCTCTGCCCGCATCGCCCTCGCCTCCGCCTCCAGCCCCTCCATCCGCACCCTCAGCCTCTCATTCTCCTCCCTCCTCCTCTCAGCCCCCTCTCTCAGCTCCTCGTTCTCCGCCCTAAGCGCCCCCATCTCCTCGCGCATACCCTTCGCGACCACCTGCGAATCGCGCAGCGCACCAAGAAGCGCCTCTGTCTCAGCCGCATGCTTGTCCTTGAGCTCCTGCACAACCGCATTCAGATCAACACCCGCTGCGCCAGCCGACGTAGCGAGGGACGAGATAGTACGTGGGGAGGTCATACTCGTCTGGCTAGCGCCGCTGCGCCCGCTCGTGCCGGTCGTCGTCGTCGTAGCAGAAGTGAACGTCGGGCTGCCGCCCCACACCTCTGACGAGCCAGACGCACCGCGGGGCGTCGAGCGGTTCCAAGAGGTCGTTGACGCGCCCGAGACATCAGAGAAGCCCGTGCGCGAAGGTGTGGTCGTGCGAGACGGCGCCCGTTCGTACCGGTCGCCCGCGGCGCGAGTCGGTCTACCGGTGAGCGCTGGGTCACGGTCGTTGTCGAGAAGCCCGGCCGCAGCGAACGCCTTGACTGTCCTAGGACCGAGCCACTCCATGGGCGGTGGACGTCCATCGGGCAAACCATCGCCATCGCTGGCGTAACGAGGCGAGTATACGCGTTGCTTGCCAGAACCAGGGCCGTACCCAGCATAGCGGGTGCCGTTGCCTGAGTTGTACGCATATCCAGCTGCAGAGCTCGAAAGCGCCGACCCAGGCCGGTTTGGAGAAGGCGGGGAGAACGTGGGTGCCAGTGGCGAGCGATTGCCACCGGAAGAGCCTCCTCCACTCGCCGAAACGAAACGTCCAGGGGGGCCCTCTTGCACACTGTGGCTTCGCTGACGCGTCCTGAGGGTCTGAAGGCGGCGAGCAGAGGACGTCACCCCAGATATGGCTGGGCGGTCGATGTCACCACCGCCAGCGGGGCGCGACACATCCACAGACGAGCGCGAGACGAACTCCGCGGACGGGCGTTGAGGAGTTTCATACCTCGAAGACCGTCCCACGTCGAAGCTCGCCACGCGGGGAACAGCTGACCGGCGTCTCGGGAGCGACGTCGACGAGAGGGACGCGTACGCGACCTTCGTCGGGGACGGCCGCGCACCCGACGACGGGGACGAGCGCGTGGGGCTATGTCCAGGCGTCGAAGACTGGTACGCGAGGTACGGCCTGCGAATGGGCGTCGTGCTGCGTGAGTCTCCTCCGCTCACTCTGCGTTGACCATCCCGATCGATGCTCCGGCGGTCCTGCCGCGTATCGGTGGGTGATTCGGGGTTGGTGAGTGGCACAGCCAAGGCAAGCGGCGAGGGCGGGTTCGGTCGGCGGCGCATGCTCCCGGCGTGCATGTACTTGAAGGTGTCGTCGATGTCCTGCTGGCTGTCCCAGTGTCCGGTGGTCTTGCGTCCTTCGGCTGCCGGAGGGGTGATGGAGTGTTTTCCGCGAAGGATGCTAGGCATGATTTGGGCTCGTCCTGCTCCTTCCGGTGATCCTTCCCTCGCTGTTTCTACCTCATTCTGAGAGGACATGTACGACCGGCGTGTAGGTGATGACTGAGCGAAGCTTTCTTGTTCGAATGGCGTAGCGGCGAAGTTGAGGAACGATGATTGTTCTCTGAGATATACAGGTGACATTGAAACGGGCGATCCAAGTTCGGACTGAGATATGGCTAGCTGTTCGGTTTCAAACTGAGAGATGGTAGGTAGCGTTGGAGGTGAGCCGGGGATGGGGGATAAATATGGGGACGGAGAGGGGGTAGTGCCAGACAGGGGATGAAACGACGTCTGAGGGGATTCTCGTGTCTGTCGAAACGTAGGGGTGCCTTTTTGGTAGCCCGTCCCAATCGAGCTAGAGAAGCCCCTGTGTGGGCTCAGGAGAGCAGCAAGGTCAGGATCCATGCTGCTGAAGGTTACGCTTGTATCGCCATAGTGATGCCGACTGCTCTCGTCCATAGGGGAATGAAAGCTGCGGTCGACTACTATGCCATCTGTGCCGGCGAGCCACTCGTTTGCAGTCCCCGCGTCCTCGTGGCGAAGAGCATGGAGAACCTCGGTGTTGAGTTTGGATGTGGACAGGTCAAGAGCAAAGTCTATGGAGATCGATGAAGGGTGTCTGGTGAGGGGGGGAGGCATGAAGTCCCCATGAGTGGACTCGGGCGACGGGCTTCGTGCAGTCGAATCTTCGAAGGATGGAAGGTATCGGGAAATACCAGAGGTTTCTGCTTCCATGATCGTCGATAGGTCTGGTCCGACGACGGGTCGAGGAGGTGAAGGGGCTGCTAAAATGGAGGTTAGACCGAGGAATCCTCCCGTCAAGCGCACGAGAAGATTTACTTACGAGGTAAAGGCTTGGCTCGGTTATCCTCCAAAGGGCTACGAGACCCTATTAGAACGTATATGAGGAACCACTCGGGCTAGAAGCGTCATGATACAACACACCTCGGCTACTATTCAGAGATCTATCCGGAGTGCGAGACAGTCTGAAGGTATCGTCTTCTGGGTGACGATTGACGGGTGATGGGGGATAGGAACGGGCTTCCTCCTCCTGTACGATATTTGAGGGTTCGATGGATATGGTTGGAACATCTGCCTGGCGGAATGTGCCAGATGGTTTCCTCTCAAGTATTGCAGAGCGTCGAAACGAGCTAAATGCTGAGAAAGCGTATTTGACGGGGGTCGCAGGTGCAGGGGAGTTGGCAGCTCTGTTACCGCTGGTGTCGGCGGGGCCGCGGCCATTGGTGGGCTTGCCTTGGCCGAAGGGGATGAGGTTTCGGATGGATCGAAAAGTGGAACTGGTGTTGTTCGGCCCAGGGGTTTTGATAGGCGTGGAGGCGTCTGAGACCTTGCGCTGGCGACCGAGCGAGCGGGAGAGGGAGGTGCGGGAGGTGCGAGGTGTGACTAGAGTCGCGGGGGTCTGAGACACGTCCGCCATGTCTAACAACTATGGCGAACAAGCTGCAGTGATGATAAAAATGCGTCGAATAAGACCATCCCCGTGGACAAGACGAGAATCTTGCCGAGACACGTGAAGGAGGGGAGCGGGAGAAAGTAGTTGTGATATGTGTCGCGTCGAGAAACGCGCACCCGAAAACGAACATTGCGGGATACTAACCCGACGGATGCAATGTCTCAAACCAGTAAAGCCCCTATCATCTCGGCACCCCAGACTCTTCGGGTCAGGGCTGGACACTCTCCCGACGAACATTGGGTGGCCTTTTCATTTACAGAAGATGGGCTTGAGTGGACGTATTTGCTGCGTTTGAGCGACCAGACGTTCGGAAGCTTTCGGAAACGTGGCTGCTGCAAATAGTAACCCAGCTACGAGGTGCCGCATCAGTCGCCACTGGCCTCCACTGGCACAACAGCGCATTGGTCACCATTAGCGCCAAACTGACTCGTCGAGAGGATAAGCTGGCGTTACGCCTCTCTGAATATTCAGTGCAAAACGAGTGTATCGCGCTGACGCGAGTTGGTAATCCTATGAAACAGCAGTGCCTCAAGACATCTTGATGCGACCTGCGTTATTAGCGAGAGTTAGGCCACCATCTTGTGGGGCATCATTGTTCAAGCGGAGCTAGCGATCATAAGAGCCTATGCTCATCCCTGCCGTCAGTTTTTAATAGAGATGGCAGACACGTTCGCCCCAGCGGGTTCCTTGTCAGCACGCACACATTGCAGGGGCAGAGCATTAAGTATTTTGAATCTGAATCTTCGACTTGCTGTGCAGTACCTGTTATTCTCCATGACACAGCCTGCACTTCTGAGGTATTAAAAGTGGCGTTCAACAACATTCCTTGTTACTCACTTCTCGGCCCCGATAATGTCCCTTGCCGCTAATCTCTTCTGGGCCTTCTGGTATGTTTTCCCGGAGATCGTCCTATATGGTGAGGGATGCCCTGATGCTATGGTTCCTTCACGCTGAAATTCGCTAATGATCTGTAGGATCATTCGCAGTGCTATTGGGCCTGGACATCTACATTATTGTGACTCGACGACGACATACTAACAACTACGCGGCAAAAACCAACATCATTGTTCTTGTTGTTGGTGCCCTGATGTTTGTGGTGGCAACTCTAGTAAGTTCCGTCGATAATATAAACGGGAGAGACCTACAGCATAAATGTTTCCTCTTCCAGCATGTCTGTTTCTCTTTGTACTGGCTCTGCTTCTCGAACTTTCTCAGTGCAGTGGACGGCGGCTTGCCTGTAAATCTTTCACCGTTATCCGTACCAATTTGGGATGCCTACCTTGACATCTTCGTTGCCCAAGAAGCTCAAATGGCTGCATTTATTATACAACTATGGCTGGGGGACGGGTTTATGGTACGTTTTCTAGGTGAAAGAAGACAGCAGCACCCTTGAATACTTATAAAACTGCAGCTTTACAGGCTCTGGAGGGTCTGGAACAATGATAAACGGGTGGTCATACCTGTTTCAGCCGCGTTTCTCGGTAGCATTGGTGAGGGCTTTTCTTAACGCTGAGGCTGAGTCAACTGCATGCCAACATCACATAGCCATGGGAATCGTGTTCATAGATGCATACGGCGACCGAGTTCGTGCTTTCAAAGGGAATATAACCCAAAGTCAGGGCGAATTCATGATGAGCATGCTTACTCCTGCGAGCGTGTCTGTTTTCGCCGTGAGCTTTGTAGTTCACCTCAGCTGCACAGGTAACGTAAAATATACTACTTATACGTGATTAGGGTAATCTGACACTGAAACCAACAGTACTGATTGCCGCAAGGATCTTCTTCCTTCATTGGCATATACGTCAACACGTGCAAGGTAGCTGGCACAGCGGTCCGATGGCTGTCGCAATTACTCTGCTTGAATCTGGCGCAATATACTCGATTTCAATGCTTATTCTTCTTGTGACGTATACGGTCGATGTGTATGTCATTTTCTCGGGAGGTGACTACTATCCCATTGTCCTGAATGCGGTGAGAACTTTACTTCTTTTCACGTAATCCCGGCATGACACCGCATATTATATCAAGTAGATCGTGCCCATTATTGTAAGTGCGCCGCTTCACTCACGGTTGAACCTGATAACGCTGCTAGTAGGGAATTGCATTTTCACTCATTGTCATCCGAATGGGTCTGGGTATAACCACGGAAATGCACTTTCGGGTGTCGGACGTTAGACAGACTGGCGTGAATGGAGATCCCAGGCCGATCGCTACGAACTCAGTTATGGTATTTGTGCAGGGCGAGTCAACGAGCACTGAGGATCCAGGCCCGAAGATGACCGGTACCCTTGAACCAAGATGTTAGGAGGTCGAGAATATTGAACCCAAGTCGACACGGCGGGGGCCTATATGGATGTGCAGCTCCCTGCATGTAAACTGGCAGTGACCTAGTTGGTGGTACATACAGTACAGACGGGGGAGGAAACCATGTGTATGGCCTATGCAAACCGCTGAAATCTATGACGGAATGTGTGAATGGGTTTAAAACCCTTGATTCCATCTCTAAGCTGTGACAAGACCAGTGCACCAGCCTGAAATGTTCATTTGGTAACTCCTGTGGAACGGTGCTCCAAGAGATCATTAAATGCAATCCCTGCGGGATTAACGAGAGTTAAGCTAACATCATATCAAGTGGAGCATCATGGTTCAAACGTTCAAGTGGAGCTAGCAATCGTAATAGCCTGTGCTCATCCCAGCCACTACCTTTGGACAAAGATGACAGACGCTTTCATCGCATACTAGCCAGCGCATGCTAACACAGGAGATGCATTCCATCGGTTTGAATACGGGCTTGTTGTCTTAGAAGCTTGAACAACCGAGCATGAAGACTGACTGGCATCGATTTTTATGGCAGTACGTATGATGATGACACAGCCCTCGCTTTGAGGTACTAAAAGCGACGTTGAACAGGAGTACGCGTCACTCCAGTTTCCGTCTCCATGATGTCCATTGCGGCTAAAATTTTCTATCCCTCTTGGTCTGTTTTCGCGGAGAGCGTCCTATATGGTGGGGAATGTCTTAGTGTTATTGTTTCCTTATGCTAAAAGTTATGGTTGGCCCGCAGGATCGTTCGCGGTGCTACTGTCCTTGGACATCTATATCATTGTGACCCGACGACGGCGTGCTGATAGCTCCACGTCAGTTACCATTGTTCTTGTTCTTGTCGTTGGTGTCTTAATGTTTGTGATGGCAACCCTGGTAAGCATTGTGTATATGACAAACCTATCACATACATAATTCCTTTTCCAGCATGTTTGTCTATCGTTGTACTCGCTCTGTTTCGCGAACTTTCTTGGCGCAGACAAAATTTTACATCCAAACAGTTCACCCATATTATGGTCAGAATTATGGAGCGCCTACCTCAACACATTCATTGCCCAAGAAGGTCAAATGGTTACATTTGTTATACAGCTGTGGCTGGGGGATGGATTCATGGTGCGCTTTCTATGCAATAAGGTGATACAGTGTTAGAATCATGATTCATTGTGAAACTGCAGCTTTACAGGCTCTGGAATGTCTGGAACCATGATAAACGGGTGGTCGTTCCTGTCTCCGAGTCCGTTGCTTATCTTGCCAGCATTGGTGAGTGCTTTTCTTCACGCCGAAGCTAAGCATTTTACATACCCATATTACGTAGCCATGGGTATCGTTTGTATAAACACGTACGGTACAATAACCCGTACCTTCGAAGGAAAGGCGACTAAAAGTCAGGAGGATTTCATGATGAACATGCTCATTCCTTCGAACATGTCCGTTTTTGCCGTGAGCTTTTCAGTCCACCTCAGTTGCACAGGTAAGTCAAAAATATGCTACTCATACGTGGTCGAGGTTATCTGATAAAATCAACAGTACTAATTGCCGCGAGGATCTTCTATCTTCATCGTCACTTACGTCAGCATGTGCACAGTAGCCGGCACACCAATCCCATGACTGTCGCAATCACTCTGCTTGAGGCTGGCGCAATATACTCGATTTCAATGCTTATTCTTTTTGTGACTTATACGGTCGAGCTGTGTACTCCTGCTGGCGTGAATGGGTACTATTACACCATTGTCCAGGATATGGTGAGGACTTTGCTTATTTCTGACGTGATCCGGGCATGACACACATATTGTATGGACTAAATTATGCCAATAACTGTGAGTGCACCGCTTCACTCGCAGTTGAACCTGATAACACTGCTCCTAGGGAATTGCCTTTTCACTCATCGTCCTCCGTATGGGTCTGGGTATAACGATGGAAATACACTTTCGGGAGTCAGAGACCAGGAGGACTGCAGGGCCTAACTCGTTCGCAACTAACTCGATTATGGTATTTGCGCGGGGTTCATCGCCGGACACTGAAGGTTCAGAACCGAAGCAGACAGAGCTTTTGGACCAAGGTGGCAGGAGGACAAGCATTCAGAACTAGGTTGCCGTAACGGGATACACTTATTGATTTTTGATTTCCTACACGTGAAGTGATGACCTTGATGGAGTGCATGCTACGACGAACCGTGGGACAGTTGTTTTGGATTTTTACCATCGTATTCCTAGACTTATACGAGGATGGGAACCGGATGTATGGTATCGGTAACCTGCTCAAATCCGTAATGAAACACATTAACTATTGCAGAGACTAGGCTCGGTTGCATATGAGAACCAATGTGCCGGTTTGAAAGCTCGAACGACGCTGAAGGATGTCCATTTTCATCATCATTGATTAATGTGGTACAAGTTGAAACGTATATCTACACAAGAATGCTACATATTGGAAGCATTCCTGCACGAATCCAGACTCAGAAGATGGTATCCTTGCATAAGCGCATATCTCGCCTTAGCCCATCTCCAACATGAGTGGGAACAGAACAGAAGGGCTGCGCAAAACGATATGAAGAAAAGAATGAAATGAGGGTATTCAGCCCTTGAATAGTCCGTGCTTAAACGGGAGCGAGGATGACGGGGTTCAGGCGGACCCACGAGTAGGTCGTCTGTTGCGTCCAGAAGAGAGACAGGGCTCCGTAGTATGCGCCGAAAGATGCACAAATGCCGAGGGCACCACCAGCGGTCGCGAGGTGGTCGATACCTGAGAGGGAGAGAATTACACCATGCACGTCATCAATATACACTTGTGGCCTACCAGTGAAAGCGTTAGCAGACAGGCAAGCAAGGGCGAAAACTGTAAAGCCGAGCGTTCCCACAATGGGCAATGTGGTGCGGAGTGCACCGAGCCTATCAATAGACGATTAAAAAAGTCCACGCCCTTGGGAAATACGAGCGTTCTTACAAGAACACGAAGGTGATAAGACTGTCGAGATGTTCAGTAACCCTATCAGTACCGCAATAAGACAACACCTACCACCAGATGGCCATGTAAATGCCAAGAGCGTTGTAGTATGCTTGCGTCAGCTGGCCATCGACGGTGTATGCGGCGCTGAATTTCCTCTGAGATAGGAAGGTCTTGTTGGATGTACCAGACTTACGTGAGACCGAGTTGTGGTAGGTAGAGAGCACCGTAGCTGAAGTTAAAGCCACCGTAGGTGCCGAACACAGTTCTAAAAGCCAATATTAGGAGTAGTTCGAGGTGCTTTTCCCGAGATTCACTTACGCGCTGAAAGTGTTTCCAAGGAACATCTCCCAGAGGCCAACGATAGTTTGCGAGATGCCACCGTAGCTAGAGCAACAGTCCATCACTATGATTTGATGATCATTAAAAGTCACTTACAAGGTGGCGAACACCATTACGAGGTTGTACGTGTCGTCAACCCCGGCACCAGTCAAGGTAAGGATCGACGAGCACAGGAAGACCGTCCCGTAAGCCAGCATGCCCAGGGGCGCCTTTCGAGCAAGGATCAGCCGTGTCGCGTCGAAGGCAACATTGACCGTCTACTCACCGGGTTACCAAACGTCCGCTGATACGGTTGCGCCTGTTGTGTCTGCGGCGAGGGAGTCTCAGAGTTCACTGTGTTGACATAGTAGTTGTCCTTGTTCTCCTCCTTCTCGACCGAGTTCGAGTGCGACATGCTGGCACTAACGGATGCTCAAAGCTTGTTCCGAAAAATCAGGGATGACGGAAAGAGGAGAGAAAGGGAAAGACGAAGAGGAAGGATGAACTCCTAGGAAATTCGAGAGGTTCCAATAAGAACGCTGGCAGGTGCGAATGGGCAAGAGCTGCAAACCTAAACCGGCCTTGTTCTTGCGATCTTTTATACACGCCCATTCTCCCGGGATGGATGCACATACTCGGCCTACACTTGTGAAACTGACCCATTTGGCACGATACGGTGCGCTATGGTCCGTCCATCTATGGATCAGACGTGCCCGCGCTCGCACGGGGGAGAAGTGCACGGCGAGGCCCAAGCTGCTGGAAGCGAAGCACCTCAATATCCCATCCTCGCACGCACGCGCGCCAAGGCACACCTGCAAGCCGGGCCCGTGATTGAGAGAGATTTGAACCGGGCTAGGGGTCTTTGCGGTTCCTTTTTGTCGTGACTTGGGTCCCAGGGATCAAGAAGCAGGAAGCGGGCGGACGTTTTGTTCGCGCTGGCATTACTTACCGTGCGTCCTGAGTGTGCAAGTGCGATCAGTTCAGTATCAACCCCTGACTCGGCGTCTTGCGCGAACCCCCCGAAAGGGCGATGACGCGTCCATTATGGATCAACCTCCCTGCGAATGCCTTCTCACCTGTGCATTTTTGTACGGGAAGGCCGAGTATTTTGCGAAGAATCAGGGGAGTGAGAGGGTGACCTACCGCACGCGCTTCAGGCGTGCGACTGACTCCTTAGCGGGATATCACGGAAATGGTATTCACCCCTGGTCGATCCTCTCGGTCGGGATCGCTCAGAGACGATATGGACTTGGAACGACCTACGTAGAACATGTAGACAAGTCGAGTTAGGTTGAACCCAAGTCTTTGGGAGGTGGCTGGGGGAGATGCAAAATGTGTTGTCTCTGATTGCACCAACAGTTACGGCAGTTCCAACGTGATCTCCAGTGGCGGACAGAGTGCGATGTGCGAAGTACGTGGTGACCAGAATAACGACCCACAACAGAAGATCAAGATCATTATTCACGATCATTATGCGATCTCCGTATCCGAGGAGTGCTCACCACAGCAAGACTCGGCCTGGCCCGTTGGAGCGTTCTCATGGGTCGAACATCGAACCGGTCGTACACGCTTCGTGCGCACCATCCGATTCACGTATCATAAAGCATGAATCGCAATGAACAGCGCATATGTTGTCCCGATTGGTCTCAGACACCCTGTCTCCTGCGATACGTGTTCTCCCTTGCAAACGGAAAGTTCATCCTGAATGAAGGCAACACCTCTTCAGTCGTTGGTATCCTACCAGAATCTTCTGATGGTGGTGGCATTGACGTACCTGTCTTGCCCTCTTTCCTTCCGTTTGACTCACCACAAGGTTCTTCGTCGCGTTGTACGCGCGCTCAGGCACCGAGCGCTATCCGTTAACACGCTTATTATACTCTCACGGAGGATTGACTGTTCTTCATATAGTCCACTTTCGTACACGAGAACCCAGCGAGGTGGGACACGAAGCTGGACCTCGAGGGGAGTCGCATCTTTTAGTGAACGGAGTTCCGGCGCCTTTATGAGCCTGTGTGACAATCCTTCCTCTCCTGCTGATTAGTCGATTAGTGTCTCGTTCCTCGTCGTCGAGGGGCGCCGCGTCAGCCCCCATAATCCCCTTGCGGCGATAGAGACACATCACTGTGGTTTGGGTTGTTCTGCTCCGTTTCGTTGCGGATGAGTGTCTTGTTTCATGTCCGCCTGACGTATGCAGCCTTGTATGCTTCGCATGATATGGAACATCTGGCGTATTCTCACCTGTTCATGGGTTTTTACCCACCGCGTACACAAAGGGAAGAAGTCCTTGAGAAAGACGGTGTTATGTATAAACCTGATCGGGAGATTTCAACAGTCTGAGACTCACTATTCCTCTCCGGGAGCGATGCCCACGCAGTGAAAAGCGTTGCGAGGGTCGAGAGCACTGGAGGGCTCATGATAGTGAAGGCGCGATGACACGAGCGTGTCACCTATCTGATATCAACTTCAGTAACGACAAGTAGTTGAGAGCAATTGAATGCATGGGAAGCTCGTTGATGGCGGGCCCGCGATGCCAACAGTCACGAAGACTGAAGCTAACCAGGGACGGGCCGGACAACTGAGGCGGGCCGTGATAATCTTTCCCCCAGCCCGAGTCCGCGGACAGTCTATCTATTCTTGTGTATGAGGAGAGAAAATGAGATGGAGCTTGCCCTTCTTCAAGTCCACAAACTCACCAGGCGCGATGACAACAGCCAGAGGAGAAGCACCGAGATCATTGTCTGTTCCCCTGGCCAAGCCCGATAGAAGCCCGCCGCTCTACATATGATTTCCTAATAGACACCCACCCGCCTATGCAATGACGAGCGAGAGGGCTTCGGACATCCCGGAGCGGGCTCGGAATCACGAAGCACGCCTTAAGCGGCACCGAAGCATAGGATCTGCTATATTATCAGCTCCTCGACGATTTCGACGGGTGACGCGGCCGCCGCTGCGAGTTTCTCGAGGAACATCTTTGTTGGTGTCGCCGAGCGATTTACGCTCGGACGCGCGGCCGCCGTTTAATGCTTCTCGGGGTGTTGACCTGGTGCTCCCTGCAAACTCCGCGATCCAGGCTGGCTCGTGACCATCGGCGAATATAGAGCAGACTAGCGCTGCGCAATGCTCTATTCCCGGACTATCAATGCGGCGCCAAGCGCAAGTGATCCTCAGAATAGGGCTCGGTTTAGAGTGTGAGGTGTGATTAGATATGATGGAGCGAGCGGCTGCCTGGGTTCGAGAAAATGTAGATAACAATAGGTCTTATTGAGGATAAGGGACCATCACCTGGATAAATGTGGGGCATGATGAGCTGGTAGTCATTCCATAGCGATAAACTGGTCGGCGGATTGTCGTAAGTCGGATGACTGTCCTACATTAGCGACATACCTGGTGGGGTACCGTTGAATGTCCTTGATGAAACGGCTTGATGCGTGAGGGAAATCGCTGAGGATGTACGTAGCATATCTACTCGTCGTCGATCCGAGCAGTGAGCACGTAACCACTACTCTCGTCGTCACTAATACTTGGCTCAACCCACGTCTCTGTGAATGTGAGCGTCTCAGTGCATAACAGATGTATACTTCCGTTGATTAGCTTTAGGCGGCCTGGCCGTGAGCCAGACAGGCACAAGATTTGACTGATCCGCCCAAGAACCAAGCACTAGTACTCAGCAGGCGCTGTTCCGGTGGATGTATGCGCGCGAAATCGCCTGTGAATGGAAGCGCCGTTTGTATCAACATCAAGGTGGCTAGTGCGAACGGATGGTTGAGTGAAAGCCTGGGGAAGATGGATAGCGGGCGCGAGGCGCAGGCAAACTTTGACTAGTCTCCCCGCATGTACGTTGTCAACACATGATGCAGTACGCGCGTAGAGTAACCGTGTATCGCGTTTCAGATGTTGTCGGGATTGCGAGTGTGAGCGCGGTCGCAGCAAGGTGAGAGCGCCAACGGACGTGTCTCCGTCGAATGAGGAGGTGCCGTAACCGCGTCAGTTCAAGATGGAGCAAATCGTGGGGTTGAAGCTCCGCCCGCGGACGTATGCGGCGGCTGCCAAGCGCCCCGCAAGCGACGACAAACTCGCTTGCAGGACGGTCATATCCTCGTTCTCCCCCTCCCCCTTCCTTCCCCGCATTTTTCACCCCCTTGCCATCCACCTCCTCCATTTCGTGCCTGAGCAGTAATGGCATCCCTTTTGAGAATGTTCAAGTGCGTGTTGTCATCACACCTGTCAATGTTGAGATGCTGATTTGACTTTGGGCCCCACTCTGGCGTCGTCACACTCGCCTACAGCGCGTCCTTGATTCGCCGTCCGTACACTGCCCAGTGCGCGACCGCTGCTGTTCTGTTTGGTACGGGCGACATCATTGCTCAGCAGGCCATCGAGAAGCGGGGGAAGAACCACGATGTGCGTATCTTCCACCACTACGTGCTGAACACGCGGTCATGCTAACGCGTGGTGTTGTGAGTGTAGTTCGCTCGTACCGCTAGGCTCACGTTTTATGGTGGTAAGTCCTCTGTATCAGCGTCACGGAGTCCACGAACAAGTCTCACACGGATGTACCGCCAGGTGCACTGTTTGGACCGGCCATCACGAAGTGGTTCCAGGTATTGAACCGCATCCAGTTCTCTAGCCCTACGAAAGCGGTCGTCTACCGTGTAAGTACCTCTGTCAAAACTTTGGTTTTCAAACAGGATATCTCACGACAGATCATTCATATAGGTATGGCTTGACCAATTCTTGCTCACGCCGGGTATGTCTCTTTAGGTCTCTTCTCCTGTATCCGCAGGAAGTTGACAACACGTAAATACAGGGGCTGTGGCCTTTTTCTTTGGCTCTATGAGTATCATGGAGGGCAAGGGCATTTCAGGCGCACAGGAGCGGATTAGCTCGGTGCGTATTTACTTGTTATCTGGTGATCAGTCTTCCAACAACGAGCTTTTGGTTAGGCATATGTCCCCACGCTCCTTCGTAACTGGGGCGTCTTTATTCCAACTCAGATAATTAACTTCGCCATCGTTCCCCCTCACCTGCGCTTCGTGGTTGTCAGCGTCGTCAGCTTGTTTTGGAGTGGGTGTCTCTACGCAAGTTTACTCCCGCGCTTATCCTGACCTTTCCCCTGCAGACACTTATCTAAGCGCCACTAATGCAAGGCAACAAAACCTCGCGATCGAGAACAAGATCGAGGACGTCACGGAGGCGGTCAAGGAGAAGGTTGAATAAGCAAATACCTGGTCCCGCAGAATGAATAATAGACAGTACATAACGCATACGTTACTCGCACATCCATGGACTCTTAATACCTTCAAGTCCCATCAGTACGTTAGAGTACACCACATAGAGCTTTCCTTGACCGTTCCTTCGCGCGCCCGAAAGTGTATCGTCATTTGGCACCGAGGAGATTGTTCATGTGCACGGTGAGAAGTTTTTATGCGATCGGTCAGTGATGCGCCGCCGCTCGCATCAGAGCGTCGGTAACTTCCATGCGCGTTTTGCGGACCTCGTACAACCATGCTCTGACATCCAGACGTTTCTATCGCATCTACTTCCCGCCCCAGCAGGCTGTTTCGCATGGCACTCGTGCTATGGAGGCGCTCTATTGACTCGGGAGGACACATTACAACTTTGTACCCTCGGCGATCGACATGGAGTGTGGCAGGTGTCAACCAACCTTGAAGCAATAGGCTCCGCACTGATAACTTAGTCAGGAACCTAGTGACGATATGGAGATCGGTCGTCATTGGGGAAAATGCGACTCGGGACCGATGGCGCTGAACAGCTGCAAGCACATGCGTGTCGTATGGCAAGCAACTCTAAACTCGCTCCACTCGATTCAGAGTACGTCTCGTCGCTTTTTTACTTCCTTGACGCCAACTTGACGCCCGTCCCAAGAAGCCAAGAATCCCAAGGCCACGCATTCAAAGTCACGCCTCGTGTCATTTCGACTTTTGACAGTTCGTGAGGACGATCGTACATACCCGGCGGGTTCCCATGCCTTTCGACTTGAAGCTGCTCAGCCCAAAGCGGCTCGCTCTTGCGCTCTTCTGTGAGTTGACTCTTGGCCCTTGACATGTTTCCATTCAACCTTTTCTCTTTCCTTGCACTGACCCTGCCACGTCTTTGCCCATGCTCTCCGCCTCGAACACGTTCTTCCATTTGACGCTCACGACTCGCCGTCTTGCCGACTCAATGTAATGCACAGTCTACGTCACCTACCGCATCGCCTACCGCCTCGTCCTCTGGCCCTACTTCCTCTCGCCCCTGCGCAAAGTCCCTGGCCCGCCCCTCGGCAACCCCATCTCGGGCCACTTCCCGACGATCCTCAAGGAGGCAGCTGGCGTGCCCCAGCGAAGGTGGCTGAACAAGTACGGCCCCGTCATACGCGCCGTGGGGCCATTTGGCATCGAGCGCCTTGTGTTCATTAACCCGGAGCCGCTGAAGAGGATCCTGGTTACTGATGCGGTGGACTTTCCGAGGGTGAGTTGCGGTTCTTCGTGCTCGATCTTTACCTCGAGTTTCTCTATGTATCTCATTGAACGTCATACGGGATGCTGTAGCCCGATTTCTTCAGACATATGATGGGTATATGCGCGGGATATGGCCTTTTTGCAGCGGACGGTGCCGACCACAAGCAGATGCGGAAAGCCATGAACCCTGCATTCTCTATTGCCAACCTGTCTGCTCGTGCGTACTCTGTACTCCAGCACCGAACACGAGTATCTAACATAAATGTGCTCAGAGACCGACATGTACTATGATATCATTGAAGAGTACGTTTCCTATATCCAGCTGATGCCAAGCAGACGCTCGAATTGCGAGTACTGATTGGTGATATTTCAGCTTCATGAAGGTCCTCGACGCCGAGATTGACGCGGAGTCAAATCCTGAAGAAGGCAAAGTTCTTCCCGTCTATGCCAGACGTACGTTTTTCGCTTTGCTTTTCCGGGTGAATGCGCTTCTTGAAGCTAAGCGACGCGACGCAGTGAACAAGGTCACCCTGGACATCATCTGCAAAACCGCGTTTGGGTATGACGCAAATACCATCCATAACAACGAAGATCCGCTTGCGGTCGCGTATGAAGAACTTTTGGACTTGCAGTCAGGTGCGTATACCCTACCACAAAACGGAGACACACTGAGACTGAACGTACATCCACAGGCGAGAATCTGGCCAACCTTTTCCTCGCACTCACCATACCAGGCATGCCCACCTTCTTCCAGTCACGCACGGCTTGGAGGCTACGCAACTTCTTCAAGCGGTTCCGCGCTACCTGTGTGTATAATCCCATCTCTTTTACATCTGCCCTGACCTTGCCTTGAAGACTCTGTAGGCGTTACCATCGATTCTATGAATCGCGTGAAAGCCTGCTCGCGCGCCATTCTGCAGGAACGCATCGCCGAAGTCTCAACTTCGCTGTCTGAGACTGGCACGACGCGGCAAAAGGACCTCATCTCAGTCATGCTGCAGGCGCGTATGTCCGAGAACCCAGATGGGAAAGACATTGGAGCGTACTTCAGCGATGCAATGATGGCTGAGCACGTTGTGCGTTTCCCTCACTTTGTTTTGCCTTGGGTTTGGGAGCTTACAAAAATGGCATTACGACGGCGTGGGATGTAGCTGACGTTTCTGCTTGCGGGACATGAGACTACGGCAAGCTGTCTGGCGTGGACGCTCTGGGAGCTCGCGAACGATCACAAGTCGCAGAGTAAGCTCCGCGCTGAGCTGCAGGCACTCGTGAAGGAGAGCCCAAGGCCGGATTTCAGGCAGTTGAAAGATTCACCTTTTTTGGATGCCGTCATGTACGTTGTTGCCCGTCCTTACTCCGAAGAAACGCTCACGAGAATATGGTTCTCTGGTAGGATGGAGAGCCTTCGACTATGGGCACCTGTTCCCGCAACAGTACGCAAAGCAGGCAGAGACGTATACCTCGATGGCGTGTTTGTTCCCAAAGATACCATTCTCTACATCCCTGTGAGTACCTCCATTCTTCGCTCCCTGTCCCCTTCCTCATGACCTATACTCAACGATCATGCGTCAGATTCTCGTCTTCAACACCTGGAAAGAACATTGGGGCCCTGACGCCGAGTCCTTCAACCCTGAGCGGTGGTTTAACCTGCCCGACAACTATAATTCAACATTCTCCTTGCTCAGCTTCACCGCCGGTCCGCACGCGTGCATCGGGAGGCTGATGTCGATTATGGAGATGAAGGCCGTCCTTGCGTGAGTCCTATATGATGATTGTGCAAATGGAGCTGACACGGGTGTATGGTATTCTCAGGATGATCATCACTCGGTATGAGTTTGATAGGCTTTCTCCGGACCAGGTGCCCAAGCCTACGACGGGGGTAACGACGAGTGAGTTGGTTGCGCTTTTCTGTATGGAGGTGGCTCTTATGATGTTTGTCTCGCAGAACCCGCTGATCACATGCCGTTGCGCGTTCGCAAGGTCTTGAGGGTCTAGCGTTCAGAAGTGATTAATATTGTGACATCTCGAAACTCATCTCAGCTACGACGCATCTCTGCTTCATCTCACCTTAAAGCTTGTATAATTTGTTCTCTGTGGGTTCATTGAATATCCCCTTTAGTGTCCTGCTTCTATCAGCCCTGTACAGCGCTGGAGTCCACGCGCACATGTGCGTGACTGTGCTCTTTGTTCGTATTGATAGCGTACTCGCCCACATGGACAGATCCTAGTCTGTCTCACTCAATCGAGTCAACTTTACCTTCATCATAACTGCCAATCCGTCGCGGTCGCGGTCGCGGTCGCCTTAGCTTGGGCGCTAAACCATGCTACGGACCGTCATCCACATTGAGATCAGCACTGGTATTGAGTTGTGGTCCTTCTGTTTGGAACGGGTGATTGCCATCCCAACAATCTGTCAATCAGCGTCCTTCAGTCATCTGTACCTATGAATGGCACACAGCGGGGGCCGACACATCTCTGGCAGGGCTCATTCAAGGGCTCGCGACACCTGGGACAAGTCCAGGGCAACCAAGACACCGATTGCGCTTGTCGTAGGAAATCTTCTTTCAAGTCCCATTCAAACTGTTTCAGTTTCATCATCTCTGGATCTGAATAATTCGTGCTCATCGATGCTGCGTGCACGGCTGTCATACCGCCATATCTAAGTCCCACGGCTTGGCGAACCGGCTCCCGAATCACCTCATGAGATCCGGAGAACTTCTCCGACGCAACACCTCGGACTTTCAAGGTCATTCCCGCTATCTTCTGGTTGCCTCGGCTGATCCATTCTCGTAAGACTAAGCACCATGTCATTAAGTAAATCACTCCACGCAATACTATTTTCCCGTGGGTTGCTTTCACCATGCATGGGCTCAGCGCGTTTATCTAGTCTTCTTCTACCTCTGGGTCATGACGCGAATGATTCTCTCCTTTCCTTTTGCATGTCACTTCTACCACGACTCGTATGTCACATACAATAGCGACCTACAACGGAATATCGTCCTCACTGTCGCTCCGGTAGTCAATGTGGCATTCTATGTCGTCGTGCTCGTAATCGGCGCCTGGTGCATATTGAACCTCTTGAAGCAGCCATATGCTGCGCTGTCCTCCAGCACACGTTCTTCACACTCCGTCTTACGTCGGCATGCATGTTTCTACACCATTTACGTGATCGTGATGCTTTGCCTCGGTACAACGTTCATGGTTTGCCTCCAGTTCGTCATCTCCCATGACGCGTTGAATCCGACTGGTATATCCGACCCACACACGGAGAAGTCTAGTATAAGGGCGTATGGGATAGCGAACACTGCGTTTGCTGTGATAGGGCTTTTGTCAGATGTTTTGGTGGTGAGTGATCATTTACTTTCCATACACTCCTATAACACTGTTGAATCCAGGTTTGGCGCTGCTGTGTGGTGTACCGGGAGGCCTTTCTATGCTACTTCGTACGCGTCGTGTGTTGGCTGTTATATGCCGCCGACTTGGGTGAGTTACGGCCTTCGATAGACTCTTCTCGTGTTGATACTCACTATCTTAGCCATTGGGGTGTCTTCTACCGTTACCTTCTCCACTCCTACGGAGTTCGGTCACCATACGCCTATCGTACTCGCACGGGTCGCACTCTGCATCTCGGCATCACTGAACATTATTTGCACTGCCTTGATTGTCGGACGCCTGTACTCTGTTAAGAAGTATTTCTCGAACATGATGGGTATGCCTCCGCGGTCTGAAGGTCCCGGTATTCTTTGCTTACCTTGAATTTGTCCCGTAATCGCAGGTTCTTCCATTCAAAGCCAGATTCAGTACACCACCGTTAGTGCCATGCTCATCGAGTCATGTGCGCTCTACGCCACCGTGTCCCTCACCTTTCTGGTCCTATGGCTCCTCTCCAGCCCCTTTACATTCCTTGTAGCGGTCATATACGGCGAGTGTCAGGTGAGTCTTTCTTCATTTAAGCTTTTGTACATGTCCTAATGTAGAATCGAGATAATCTCCGTGTTTCTTGTCATATTGCGCGTTTCCAAGGGAATTGCATGGTCAAGTGCAGTGGACTCGGACGCTATTGCTGATCTTGATTTGACCAAGAATTGACGAACTTTAAATTCAATGGATTTGATGCCATGTATGGGATGTTGGTATAATTATTTCCTTGGTGCTCGGTCGGGGTGTCGTGAACATGATGAAGGCTATTAGGGTAAACATTAAGAGCTTGTGGCAGTGAGATTCCGAGTTCATTTATGCTGCGCTCACGAGTGGACAGCGAGGTTCTCAGTTATACCACATCGATTTGTATACAGCGAACATATATCTTTGATTATCCACCGAAATCTCTAAAACTCCCAGCTGCGTAAACAGGGGGTTAAGTCAGTCAGACTATATGAAGTGATGCTACTTAGGCTAATGGATATTTCACTCTTCGACAACGTCCATGGACTGCTCCGGATTCTCGTATTACTAGCATACTAGCTCAGCACTTCATTATCAGGGGTATCGCCTTCATGTATATGCTATTTCATTTTGACAAAGAGATAAATTATAGATAAACCAGCATTGTTCTGTCCGCTCAGATGCACATGCCCATTACTGCCACTCCTACTCAAAATGTCGTCTTTGACTCCGGGTCTTCAGTGTTGGTCGACGGGCCCGGCGCAAATAGCATAATCGAGTTTGTACCGGTCCAGCTGTGCCCTGCACTCCTCGGGATAGTCCGCCCGGCCCCTGACGTCTGAAGGTGCATCTCCGTGGTGACACCCAGGCCCATTCGAATGACAATCAGCGAAAACGCGATTCCCTACGAAAATAATGAGTATACTCTATCCTGAGCCCACCCGAATACATACAATTATAGGAACAATCTGCGTAAACCAAGTTCTGTTATAGTGATTTTGCGCTAGCAAAATAGCAGACAACTCACCGCGTTCATGACGATGGGGTAGTAAAGCTCGTCACTGCGATCGAAATGTCCAATCTCGGCTTCATAGAACGTTACAAGAAGAATGAGCATTGCTGTTGAGTAAATTGCGCCAGACTCAAGTAGAGTAATTGCAACAGCCATGGGATTCGTGCGACGGCTACCGTGGACGTGTCGGCGTACGTGACGATAGAGATAGAGGATCCTCGCGGAAATCAGTACTGTGAGGGGCCATGTCGTCAGAATGTGTCGTTCCGGTAAACGTGGTTTAGTTCATTTTCAATTACCTGTGCAGCTAAGGTGGACGACAAAGCTCATGGCATAAACAGATATGCTCGTGGGCACCATCATGCTATCCATAAAGCTCCACTGACTCTGGGGCGCACTCCCTTCAGATCCAAGAACTTGAATGCCATATGTGTATAAAAAGACAATTCCCATCGCTGAGTAAAGTTTGATGGGTTTGATAAGGATTAGGCTTTTCTTTCTGAGAAGTGCTCACCAATATTTGCGAGGAACCCCACGGAGACAGGTATGGCAACCCGTTTGTCATTATTCCAAACTTTCCAGAGCCTGTATAGCTGTGTTTCGACAACAAAAAATGATCACTGACTCGCGTATCATTTAATCAGCCCAGAAAACATACCATGAACCCATCCCCCAGCCATAGCTGCACGACGAACGCAACCATCTGAACTTCTTGCGAAGCCGTAATTTTGAATTCGGTAGTGACAATGACATGCACTGACAAGGGCAATGAGCTCTGATTTTGATCCAAACATTCTCGTGTGCTCTGTGACAGCTGATTTTGAACGCTCGCATAAATAAGCTCAACAGAGTTCAGAAGGTTGTAAAAGTAGGAATTGTACAGAGATGCGCAGATGTGCTAAAGGCATGCAAGTTAGTCGATGAACTCTGCCGCCCACAGAATGAATGGGCTTACCAATGTTGCCATCATAAACATCAGGGCACCAACAGCAAGAACAGCCACGTTAGCCTTAGTGGACGAGCCGTTGGCTTGCTTCCGTCGAGTCATAACTATGTAGATGTCTAAAGCAAGTAACACAGCAAAGGCTCCTGTAGATTTTCGAGTGCCTATTCATATGAAGAACATTGACGGAGTAGCAGAAATACGGCTCACCATAGAGTATGATCTCCGGAAAGACGAACCAGAAGGGGGCAAAAAGACTGCTCGCGAGGGACCACATTGAGGCAAAAATGCGCGCGACGAAAGTATTATAAGGAACAGCCGACTATTAATATCCTGAGCTATACGAGCTATGCTGTATCGTCAAACCGTACCTGTGTCCCCTGATGATGGAATCACAAAGACGCCCGTGACTCTCGCTCAACCGGGCATTCATTGCACCACACTACCATCTAGAGGTTGCTGAAGTTGACCGGATTCTTCAATCTGAGAGCTTGTACATCAGCCAAGAGACGGTCAAATACATAAATTGGCATATTGTATAAAGCAGGTGTGGTGTATTATCATGCTACAATGGAGGTTCGGTCCGGTGTAAATGCCCCGAGTCTGATCCTGATAACCTGTCCGGTGGATAGATGATGGTTGCGCCGCCCCCTCAAATATCGATGCATTCACTAGCTTTTATCAGGTCGCCGACCCCATCTTTACAGCAAGTCACAAGTTTGATCAAGAATGCAAGCAGTATTTGATAGTGACAGCATCCCTAGCACCTATTGATAGCGCTGATAGGTCGAGATACAACGCTGACCTCTCGAGATATGGTTGTTTGGGGCATGACATGAGTTTTCTCGCCCGAAGTTTCAACCTTTGAGTCCGCTAAGATGAAGTCAAGGCCCCAAACCCAAGGTTAAACGTGGTGAATCCACCTCTGCGGTAATTTTATGCTTACGCGGCGCTACAATGAGGCCGAAGCGCCACTCATTTTTGTTTGGTATTAGTTGCATGGGTCAGCATCGGTTTTTCATGGCCATCGGATATACTCACATAACAACGCCGCACAAGGCGGCAATTTTCAGCTTTCGGATTTCAAGTGTTGCATCATGTTCTGTGGGAGACCCATTGCGTCTCAAATCGAAGGTACCTACTGATATCAGAGTGCTACTTCAGCCGTAGCGATCTGCTATGTCGGTTGTATCAACACGTCACTAGGTACTCTCTAAGTCTGTGACGTGCTCCTTACGGTTTACTCAAAAACAAGTGTTTACCGAAACTGCCCGGTGTGGACATGAACATTATGTTGATAGTCCATTGAGGTGTTTGAACATAACGAAGGCAAGCGCCCACTGTAACGGCGGAACGAGCCTACTCAGGCTGGTGCCGCCAGCCTACCGCCAGCTACTAAGACTCACACGTTACGATAAGAAAAGTGTACCTTAGGGTTAGGGTCGCATGTGTAACTGCAGGCGGAGTTACAATCGTCAAAGACCATCCAACAACCGAAGACCGGTCCCAACACTAATACTGTTATTAACTCAGCCGCTCTTCGATGGCTCATCCAAAATCCCCCCTCATTACGGACACACTCGTGTGCTCATATGTAAAAAAAATCCAAAAAAGCCTAAAACTACCCGAAACATGTGGTCTTGCAGCATGGCAAATCAGCACGGGCCCGTGCATCGCCTCGCTCAGCTTTTGCGCCGGCATGTACACTCTGTCTTATAAAATAGTAGGTGGGCAATGCAGGTGCGGCGGATAACACAACACATCAGCAATGTCTTTCCCTTCTACTCACCCAGGTCTATATCGCAGACTAGCGATCCGCGAGAGGCCAGGAGTTGCTAGCAACGATGGTACTTTGGGTCAAGGAGCTTGTCGACAGAGCGAGGCCAATTCTAGGGATCTTGGGGATGGATTGTGTGCACAAGGAACATCTCGGACTCAGGTGCGTACTACAACCGTCAAATGTCGCCAGTGGGTCCGACAAGGTATCTCTCGCTCAGACACAGACTGGGAAGGGGGGAAATATTCATGATACTTCCGATGGGGCAGTAGTACCCGCAGAAGAGTCTGCATCTCCACCAGATGACCAAACTCCTTCACTAACCACAATGAATCAGGATGAAGATATAGGGTGGTGGCAGATGGAAAGACGACAGTACCGGTGGAACAGCGTCCTCCACATAACAGATAGCCTAGTGCTTCTCCGAAGGGACCTTGCGATACGGGAGCGATTGATTATAACAGCGATGGTGCAGACAATGAGAGTAGTGATGAAAGCGAAACCGAAGACATGGGTGTCGAGTCAAGGTCCAAGAGGTGGCACTCATCTCCCAGCGCCGACTCTCTCGAGTCGTTTCTTAATGTGAGGTTAATCTTGGTTTCTGACTCATGTTTATAAAACTTAGCGGCGCCATGATTGTTCAGAGGCCGGCTACGATACCTCCCAAGACTAGGCACCAGTCCACCCATGCTTGTATGCTCGACTCTGTCGTGGACGTGCGTCTCTTTCTGGGTTTCTCTTTTTTGTAAATTCCTGGGGCTGAACAAACCTATAGATGAACCTTCACAGCGAGACCTCTTCGATCGACGGTTTTGGTATCCAGAAGAGACACAAAGGCTCACATGGACTCATAAGCCTATTGATGCGCGAAAAGGGCTGATCACGTAGATGTAAAGGAGGTATTTTAACTGGCGAGGTCCATTGTCCAAGCATGGATTCGCACTCTGAGGCATGCGCATGCCTTGGACACACTAAACAACGACCTAGCTCTCTGGCACGCCTTCGTTCTTCGCTGCGTCGACCTGTCGTGGTGTATGCTGCAAAGGCCAAAGAGGTCAGTCTAATTCGCATCGTGCCTCAGCGTATTGACGAGAACTGACATGTGTAACTCGGTTAGCGTCTGTATGCCGCGCCAGAGTCTTCTCGAGCGGATGTTCAGTCCGACAACGACTCTGACCATGAAGAGGGCCGTTGTGAAGGTGGCACAGATTTCCAGACACGGACACGACCTAAGAGTCATGCTGTACATGACAGTAGCCGTGGACGTGGCCACTGGGAATGGGTGGATGATGGATCGATGCACGGTAAAACACGATTCTGCCTAGTCTCTCCTAGACAGACCGAGCTACTTATTAGTCCGATGATAGTCGATCGAACAATAAGGGATTCTGCCTATGCTTCGCCTGGAATGGTTCCAAAATGACGAACTTCCTTATTTGTAAGTCATGTGTATGATTATGTCAGGTACGCGACATGAAATCGTGTTCCTAGAATGGCCAGGACATTTAGACCCAAAACACAGGAGAAGATAACATGCATAGCAACGTAGTTGATCAGATTTATTTTTGTGGGTTGCCACGAGCGCAGCGTATCACAGACACAGCTCACAGCAGATGCTCCTCCGAAGATTACTGCGAGCGGTGAGCCAAACTCCGCGGATGAGACTCTGTAAAACATTCGAGGCTACGAAACCGATTGAATGACTGAATAGTGGACTTTATGGGGCCAATATCAATGGTATGAGCGGTCTGTGCGTGACAGGCAACGCTGACTTCTTTACAACATATAAACCTGGATTGTGCGAGCAGCGGAATGTAGCAGAGCTGCAAGACCGGGTGTTGTGAATCGTATCATGATAGCGATTGCAAGTGCGCTAAAATAAAGTTAGCCCCCAGGAATACCCAAGTCGTGCAGCTTCCCTACCCCCTTTCATTAACACGAAACTTGAACCGAACTTGGATCTGGGGAGATCTGGGGAAAACGCGTGTTGCAGGCTATCAGCGGACTTTCAACATGTTTTGGACAGTAACTCTATAAGCCTAACAAGCACAGCTATTTCTCTCATAGTTTCGTGCCCATCTCTCTTAGCTTCCCCACTAACACTCGGGCCTTGCTCGCTGTGTTCTGGGTAGAGGACGTCCTGAACTCTGAATTTTGCCTTTGCTTCGTATTGCATAACGTGGCGAAGAGTGCGGGCGCGAGCAATCCAAGTGACATGAACGGCGTTAACCCCACATGTCGCATTTTGGTTGTAGGAAGGGCGGCTTCAGGGAAAGCCACACTCCTCAGCAAGGTTTGCAATCCCGATAACGCTACCAAGCCTGTCATTTATGACAAGGGGGGTCGAAATGTACGTCTTCCATGCGGGTACCGGGACATAGGTCCGAATTAAATTAGCCTCAATCCGATAGATAAGCCTGACCGGAATTGCAGGGAATCTTCGAGTAAGTGCGTCTCTGCTCAAATCTTCCAACTTCAGCCGTCTTCTACTTCAATGCTCGCAGGAAAATGCTCTGAGCTTCTTCACTGGCGACACGTACGATGATATCATTCTGAGATCTAGCAAGGTAAGCATGCTAAAAGATTTCCCGTCCGGCGTTGAGTTCAAGGACATCAGCGTGGCCTTCACGATATCTATCACCAAATAACGTACCCTGGGAGTCGATTTGTATTTCATACTGCCAAAGGCACCTCCTCGCAGGATATTAGACAAATTCGTCACTTTATGTGCAATCGCGAGTCTGCACCCTCCACGGCAGAGAGACTGCATGCTATCTGGTGAGCGTTCAGTCTCATGTTCCTATTAGTGCACAGTTGAGGGTTTTCCAAAGGTTTTGCATCCCGATGAACAACATAAGTCCTCTCTCAGATGTAGAACTCTCGTTCATGAACGAAGTTTCGAGAAAATGTGAGCTTCCAATGTAGCTTGTATTTTAAATCCCTCTCACGATGATGAAGTACCTGTCGTGGCTGTGTTCACCAAATTTGAAGCCCAAATCGACAAGGCAAAATTCGATCTGATACAGATCTCAACTCGGTATATCATGGACGCATCAGTCAGGCACCCAAGCGCCGACGATTCCAGGTCCATTGCGGAAACAACGTATCAACAGCATTATCTTCAGCGTGTTTTAGGAATAGCACATCCGCCGCGGGGTATAGTGAGACTCCAACGTGAGCGTGTTCACTGAATGATAAGTCTAAGAGAACATTGTTACTGACCGTCACATATAGATCTGCACGATGTGATGACCAAATATCCCACAGAATTGTTGGATACGTCGGTCGTAGCAATCCATGGGTCGTTTGCAGAGAAGGTGCCATACTCGGAGCTGAGTATTCATGAGAACGGCGTGCATGGAAATAGCGATGATGACTGCATCCACGGCGTGGACGTTCACAAACATAGCCATCGGCGTGCGGAGGGAGATAGCAAAAACGGCGAGGTAGGAAATGGTAGTGCACAAGAGCCTGAGCATGAGTCAGCATCCAGCCTGTCAGCTAAAGAGGAGCGCAGTCCTACTGCACCCATACCTTCTGATAGCGTAGATTCGCTGGAGTCATTTCTCAAGGTAAGTCCACGTGTTGTTATATAAAACGTTGGCAATCTCGTTGACACTGCAAAAATTTCACCATAACTTGTGCCCATTTACTTTAAATAACTGGCCCGGTTAGTTAAAATAACTTTATCATAACTTGCCGGGATTTATCCGGGTGTGGATACACATTGTATTTTAAATAACATTTGACAGGTTATGGTAAAGGTGGGACACGCAGTTTTGACAGTTATCTTAAATTGTAGTTTCTCACGGCTGTCAGCCATGTCATTGCTCATCTGTTTATTTTAAATAAAATGGAGTTAACATAAATGCGGATAAACTCCGCATTTGGATGGCAACAATCAAAGTCTGGCCCATGATGGTCAGAAACCAGACAATGACCCGGCAATGACTAATCATATGCTGGTCAATGCCAGGTCAATGGCCAATCAATGGCCAATCATTTGCCAGTCATTTGCCAGTCAATGGCGGGTTAATGGCGGGTTAAT